TTCAAATCGGACCATAAACAAAGATTCTACAGGGTACGGGGACTAAAATTAACGTTGAAAGTGACCTTGACCTTGACCTATGACCTTGACCTCGGATTTTTTCGAATTTGCTACTGCTTCTCGATGAGACGAACACAGTGGTGGCCGAAATTTCGGACCATAAACAAAGATTCTACAGGGTACGGGGACTAAAATTAACGTTTAAAGTGACCTTGACCTTGACCTATGACCTTGACCTCGGATTTTTTCGAATGTGCTACTGCTTCTTGATGAGACGAACACAGTGGTGGCCGAAATTTTCAAATCGGACCATACACAAAGATTCTACAGGGTACGGGGACTAAAATTAACGTTTAAAGTGACCTTGACCTTGACCTATGACCTTGACCTCGGATTTTTTCAAATGCGCTACTGCTTCTCGATGAGACGAACACAGTGGTGGCCGAAATTTTCAAATCGGACCATAAACAAAGATTCTACAGGGTACGGGGACTAAAATTAACGTTTAAAATGACCTTGACCTTGACCTATGACCTTGACCACGGATTTTTTCAAATGTGCTACTGCTTCTCGATGCGACGAACACAGTGGTGGCCGAAATTTTCAAATCGGACCATAAACAAAGATTCTACAGGGTACGGGGACTAAAATTAACGTTTAAAGTGACCTTGACCTTGACCTATGACCTTGACCTCGGATTTTTTCGAATGTGCTACTGCTTCTCGATGAGACGAACACAGTGGTGGCCGAAATTTTCAAATCGGACCATAAACAAAGATTCTACAGGGTACGGGGACTAAAATTAACGTTTAAAGTGACCTTGACCTTGACCTATGACATTGACCTCGGATTTTTTTCGAATGTGCTACTGCTTCTCGATGAGACGAACACAGTGGTTGCCGAAATTTTCAAATCTGACCATAAACAAAGATTCTACAGGGTACGGGGACTAAAATTAACGTTTAAAGTGACCTTGACCTTGACCTATGACCTTGACCTCGGATTTTTTCAAATGTGCTACTGCTTCTTGATGAGACGAACACAGTGGTGGCCGAAATTTTCAAATCGGACCATAAACAAAGATTCTACAGGGTACGGGGACTAAAATTAACGTTTAAAGTGACCTTGACCTTGACCTATGACCTTGACCTCGGATTTTTTCCAATGTGCTACTCCTTCTCGATGAGACGAACACAGTGGTGGCCGAAATTTTTAAATCGGACCATAAACAAAGATTCTACAGGGTACGGGGACTAAAATTAACGTTTAAAGTGACCTTGACCTTGACCTATGACCTTGACCTCGGATTTTTTCAAATGTGCTACTGTTTCTCGATGAGACGAACACAGTGGTGGCCGAAATTTTCAAATCGGACCATAAACAAAGATTCTACATGGTACGGGGACTAAAATTAACGTTTAAAGTGACCTTGACCTTGACCTATGACCTTGACCTTGGATTTTTTCGAATGTGCTACTGCTTCTCGATGAGACGAACACAGTGGTGGCCGAAATTTTCAAATCGGACCATAAACAAAGATTCTATAGGGTACGGGGACTAAAATTAACGTTTAAAGTGACCTTGACCTTGACCTATGACCTTGACCTCGGATTTTTTCAAATGTGCTACTGCTTCTCGATGAGACGAACACAGTGGTGGCCGAAATTTCCAGATCAGACGATAAACAAAGATTCTACAGGGTACGGGGACTAAAATTAACGTTTAAAGTGACCTTGACCTTGACCTATGACCTTGACCTCGGATTTTTTCGAATGTGCTACTGCTTCTATATGAGACGAACACAGTGATGGCCGAAATTTTCCGATAGCTCCAAAAATGAAGATTTTATAGGGTACGGGGACTAAAATTAACGTTTAAAGTGACCTTGACCTTGACCTATGACCTTGACCTCGGATTTTTTCGAATGTGCTACTGCTTCTCGATGAGACGAACACAGTGGTGGCCGAAATTTTCAAATCGGACCATAAACAAAGATTCTACAGGGTACGGGGACTAAAATTAACGTTTAAAGTGACCTTGACCTTGACCTATGACCTTGACCTCGGATTTTTTCGAATGTGCTACTGCTTCTCGATGAGACGAACACAGTGGTGGCCGAAATTTTCAAATCGGACCATAAACAAAGATTCTACAGGGTACGGGGACTAAAATTAACGTTTAAAGTGACCTTGTCCTTGACCTATGACCTTGACCTCGGATTTTTTCGAATGTGCTACTGCTTCTCGATGAGACGAAAACAGTGGTCGCCGAAATTTTTAAATTGGACCATAAACAAAGATTCTACAGGGTACGGGGACTAAAATTAACGTTTAAAGTGACCTTGACCTTGACCTATGACCTTGACCTCGGATTTCTTCGAATGTGCTACTGCTTCTCGATGAGACGAACACAGTGGTGGCCGAAATTTTCCGATAGCTCCAAAAATGAAGATTTTATAGGGTACGGCGATTTTTAAAGTGACCTTGACCTTGACCTATGACCTTGACCTCGGATTTTTTTTAATGTGCTACTGCTTCTGGATGAGACCAACACACTGGTGGTGAAATTTTTCAAATCGGACCATAAACAAAGATTCTACAGGGTACGCAGTATTTTGACCTCTCAAGGTCAAACGGTTTGACCTAGGAAAAAAAGGTCACCATTTTCGAACTCAGCGTGCCATGGGCTATCTGTATGCCAATTTTGAGCGAAATCATTACTCGAATTTGAATCCGAATACGAATACGACGCTAACTTTATGGACATACCGCCTCGGGGCTGACAAAGGAAGAACACGGACGACCGGAACTCGCCGGAACAGCGGAGACAGTGATTGTTAGCCGCACGTGCTTCGGCGCTGTCAATAACCCGTCATTATCTACCACCGAATCGGCCCGACACGGAAGAGCGCCGCCTCATAATGGACATAATGGACGTAATGGGCGTAATGGATGGCGTCGGTCGGTGTCGGTCCGAGTTCCGACCACGACCGGTCCGGAACTGACCGCCGTTTGTGCCGCTCGGTGACGACAGACCGCCGCCTATAAGACACTCCCGCCCGCCGACAAGACACCTCCCCGCCCGCCGCTGAGACACTCCCCCGCCCGCCGATAACACACTCCCCACCCGCCCCGAGACACTTCCTCGCCCGGCGCTGAGGCGGTGGGTGGGGAGAAGGGATGGCGGGAGCGGGGAGGGACAGGAGGGTGGTGGGAGAGATGGAAGATGGGGCGGTGGGAGAGACAGAAGAGTGGGTGAGAGAAACCGGATTAGGAACCATCTTCGTCGCCTATGAGACATGAGTGTCGAGTGGGGTTGAGTTTTTCTTTACATACATGGCATTTGTCTCTGCTAAATAATAAAGGGATTATCGTGATATAAGAGCAAGTTCTTTCGGCCTTTCAGTTTCAAGACCATTGCAGAGCTATGGGATGCTGTGGGATGATAGGATAGGGCGTAGACACTGGGCTGTGCGGGACACCGACAGTGAGCCGCGGAGGCGAGACCGTCGCGTTGAGACTGGACCGCCCCATTGGGACACTCCACCCGCCTCCCAAACGATCACCCCGGAGAGGAATTGCAGGTCCCAGTGGAGCCCCGACCTCATCCAACCCCAACGGCTGTCAGGACGTGGGTGGCCGCCAGCCCGGAAAGGGAGCGTTAGGGGAGACGCGGATGTGTGGCTGAGTAAAGGCCGATCGCCCACTGGTGGCAGTTCCCGCTCCTGGAACCACCCGCCAAATGTTTGTCCTGAGGATGGCTTGGATGGATCAACAATCAAGGATAACACCTAATCCTGAGGATACAGTGGACGGATACAATCGGAGAACAGATAGATTTCAGACTTTTAGCCCAGGAGCTCGTCCTATTTAGTCAATTCCAGTAGGAGCACTGAACACTGAACAGAACACCGCACAAAAGGGCGCAGACACCGCCCCCCGGGCGTGATAGCAACTAGAGTTGTCAAATTTAGCCTGTAGATGTCAGGGGAGCACAGCAGGCTTTGCCAGCGCGGTGCCTCGTATCGAGCAATCTGAAATAGACTCGATCGACAGAAGTCATTCCACTGTTGTTTTTCAATGGAGCACCTTTCTGTAATTCTTATGGTGGGCGAGGCGCAATTACCAGAATTATAGGCGACAGGCACCCACCCTCCCCTCCCACCTCACAGCTAACCCCTGAGCCGAGTCCTGGCGGCTGGCGCACAGGACGGCTGGACTTCATACAGAACCATCATCCGCCATCGAGTTTCCAAAGTATACGGGACAACCCGCATCACAGTTACCGAGTACTGACTCAAGCTTCGTTATTAATATTTCAAAGTAACTATGAGCAGTGCCATGCTTAAAAATGGCAGTACCAACTTACCTTCGCAATTTTCCATGTCCTCCATTCTGTCAATCTTCGTTAACTTCTCATTCGTTTCCGATATTCCTCAACACAAAAATGCTCAAATTGTTACACCACTGAACTCTGGTCACTGCACCGACTTATGGCACCCACAGACAAGCACCTCACGGCACCTCACGCACCGTCAGATACTTTCAGACAGCGTGCGTCGTGCAACAAGCGTCGCCGGTCGACGCGTGCTGTCACCTGCGCCGGGCGCCTCGCCCGAGACGACGAGTAGCGAAAGACGAGACGCGTCCGCCGCACGGTCACGTGACCCATGCCCCAGGGGCATGCCCGATCTGAGGCCGGGCGCTATCCGAGGGTCATCGCAGACAGAACTGACCACGATTTGGATTGCTGACGAGTGACAACGATCGACATGCAATGGTGAGTACCTCTGTGCAGGGTGTGGTCACTCGTAATAGAGTTGTGAACCGTCGCAGAGCTTTTCTTCTTGTGGTGAAAGTTCTGTACCCACGGCCACAAGTTAAATTGCTTGCGATGTTAATTGTTGATAAATTTGTACGCATTTTGTAACGAGCGTTAGTCCAATGTTTCTTGCATCAAAACGTGTCGTTCCCTTCACGGTTCACCGTTCAAACATACACTTCACGATTCCGTATTTTATTGTATTCTAATGTATTGGAGCGGTACACACGAGCACGTCTAGCTAAGGAGCACCTGGTCCCGTACAATTCATCAGCTTCACATTTGGACCCTTACTGTCTACACACGCTGAAGACGGCTCACACAGAAAGACAGGCCGCAACGTGAGCTGACCTGACCTGACCACGATTGGGGTGTAACGGGACAGAACACCCAGCCGTATATACAGCCGAAACGTTAGTGCAGTTCCTGAAAACTACAGAACACAACCAACGTAGCTAAACAGCGGGAAAAATAACTGAGCTAGCCCCATGTCAGACTCCTTGATGTTCTATCATAGCAACGTAGATTAGTGTCTAACATGCGAGTTACTTTTTGGACGCGTCGCAGAGTCTGTCTCCCTGATGTAACCCTGGTATAACGCTAGACAATGAACGTACGCTATGGTACCTCATGCACATGCAACTAAACCTGATGAATACGTGGTGAGGGAATGAGATAATATCGTGCACGCTATTACATGGGACCTATCAATGAGTGAGGACGCATCCGAACGAGCTAACACCGCATATTTAGTGTCAGCGTTTATAATGAATATGAAAAAGGTAAGAAGGTAAACCATCTTGGCCATTCTGGTGACTCTTTTATCTACTCGTTCCAGCGACTTTGTCACCCAGGATGTTATTTTCCACGAGTAAAATACAGAGGACACTGGACACGCTACGGATACATTTACGTTCACTCGCAGCATTTCCACTATTTCGGTATTTAGCGACACATCAACCTATCATTCATTTTTCAAAACTTTATCGTACAAACTGTCAGAAGTCACCGCAACTAAAACAGAATCGAATAGCGCTCCAAATGTCTAGCATTGCGCTGAAATAGAGCTCAGTTCATATTGCGATGCCTCGGAATGCCCTTGGATCAAACTGATATGCATTAAGATCATCGTAACACGAGCTAGCAGCAATGAAGGGGAGGGCAACTATGTAAGTCTGTATGAAGTATTCCTAGGCCAGAGTATGTCGTCGGTCTAGGGTCCGCTCTGTCGCACTGCACTTGCTACTGGGTCGCTCCACAGGTCAGTACAGGGCGCACCCAGACATGCACAGGACCGCCCTAAGTTCACGTGGGTCACCTTAGGTTAGTGTAAGGCTGCCTGGACCCGCTTAGAGCAGCCCTGAGCTTGTGTAGAGCCACCCTTGGCCGGTGTAAGACCTCCACCAGCCCATGAAGGACCGTCTCAGGTCCGTAAATGGCCGCAAGATACCTGTGTGGAGCGAAACCAGGTCGACACAGGACCGCCCCGTGCGCGTGTAATGCCTCCCTGAGCCCCGTAGAGCCACTCCCAGCCCATGTAAGGCAACCCTAGGCCCAGGTAGGGTCGCCCCAACCCAAGTAGGGCCACCATAGGCCCGTGTAGGGCCGCCTCCAACTCGCAGAGGGCCACCCTAGGCCCAGGTGAGGCTACCTCCCCTTCCCAGCCAGGGTAGTGCCGCCCCCAGCCCGCGTAGGGCCGCCCTAGCCCGCGTAAGGCCTCCCTAGGCCCAGGTAAGGCTGCCCCCTCCCATTCAGGTTAAGGCCGCCCCAGCCCGCGTAGGGCATCCCTAGGCCGAGTTGAGACTCCCTCCCAGCCCGTGTAGGACCTCCCTAAGCCCAGGTGATGCTGGGCGGCACGCTAACGGCCACGATCAGGAGGAAGGCGAGGCCGCAGAGCCGGTCGGCGGCTCCCGCCAGCAGCGCCCATTCGTATGTCTTGCCGATGTCCTTCACCATGTGCTTCATCTCGCCGCCGTTCTCGTGCGGCGCGTCCAGCATCTCGTTATCCTCCTGAGAGTAGTCCTGGAAACACCGGGCGGATGTCGGGCTATGAGAGTGACAGCAGCTGTGGGTGCTGTTTACAAAGTACTAAATCGTATCGTGGGACGTAAGAGAGGAAGGGTTGATGAGCAGGAGCTGGCGCTTACAGGGGACTGCGATGGATCTTGAGACGTACAAGAGGAAGAATTGATGGACAGGAGCTTCAAAATGTCGCTGAAACACATCAAGAGTACCTACACAGCCAAATCATAGTGGAAGATTATCGCAATGAACGCTAGTCCAGCTCTTGGCTACAAATATACTTGAAAAGGTATTCTCAGTCGATGAAGGAAATGCTCACTAGGCGCGAGATCAGCTTCCATGCTACGGCCGGCTCCCATACCCGCTAAAGGACCGTTCACACGGGTGGGCGACTCACGTGGAACAGGGGCGTGTCGAGACAGAGCAGGCGGCCGACCAGGCCGGACAGACAGGCGCGCAGACAGCGCGGCAGGGGCGTGCTGCGCGGCCGGCTCAGCAGCACCACCAGCACCTCCAGCAGCGTGAACACCAGCAGCAGCACCACGAACACCACGTAAAACGACGCTGAAAAATGCAATGGATTAACACCAGTATAACGCCTTTTGGGGCGACTAACGGAGCGAGCGAGAGGGTGAGCCTTGCACGTGCGAAATTTCGACGGGGTACCTCCAGCTGACTTGTGCACGGCACCCTACTAACCGGTCTCTAGCGATGTGCCAAATTTGAGCACAATCGGCCCAGCCGTTCTCGAGATCTGGAAGCGGCACCCTGCACGTGCGCACGTGCAAAATGGGTCCCAACTGACTTTTGCACGGCACCCTACTAACCGGTCCCTAACCATGTGCCAAATTTGAGCGCGATCGGTCCAGCCGTTCTTGAGATCTGGAATCGACCCCTGCACGTGCGCACGTGCAGCAGCACCCCAATTCTGGCACATGGATATGCATTGCCTAGTGGGTGCCTACCTACATGCCAACTTTCAGCGCAATCGGCCAAGTAGTTACGGAGATATTGCAACAATTACAAAAGTGACACCTCTTCGTTTTGCACGTGGCACGTGCATAAGGGGCATCCACATGCATCGGGAATAGTCCAATACTTGGTAGAAGGAATGAAGCTACCCTACAAAAATTACCGCGTGTAAATCGGTCAAGTGGTTGCTGAGATATAAGCGTCGCAGAATCGTGACCACGGCCGGCCGGCCGGCCGGCCGGCCGCTCATACTCAGAAATTTCCGTTAATCTAAGGAAAGACTACGCTCGCTTCGCTCGCTCCGTAATCAAACGGTGCTGAAAACTTAGTGGAACAAGACGTACAACATCGTTGAACCAGTATAACGCCTTTTGGGGCGACTAACGGAGCGAGCGAGAGGGTGGGCCTTGCACGTGCGAAATTGCGAGGGGGTACCTCCAACTGACTTGTGCACGGCACCCTACTAACTGGTCTCTAGCGATGTGCCAAATTTGGGCACAATCGGCCCAGCCGTTCTCGAGATCTGGAAGCGGCACCCTGCACGTGCGCACGTGCAAAATGGGTCCCAACTGACTTGTGCACGGCACCCTACTAACCGGTCCCTAACTGTGTACCAAATTTGAGCGCAATCGGTCGAGCCGTTCTCGAGATCTGGAAACGACCCCTGCACGTGCGCACGTGCAGCAGCGCCCCAACTCTGGCACATGTATATGCAGTGCCTAATGGGTGCCTACCTACACGCCAACTTTCAGCGCAATCGGCCAAGTAGTTACCGAGATATTGCAACAATTACAAAAGTGACACCTCTTCGTTTTGCACGTGGCACGTGCATAAGGGGTCACCCACATGCATCGGGAATAGTCCAATACTTGGTAGAAGGAATGAAGCTACCCTACAAAAATTACCGCGTGAAAATCGGTCAAGTGGTTGCTGAGATATAAGCCTCGCAAAAGCGTGACCACGGCCGGCCGGCCGGCCGGCCGCTCATACTCAGAAATTTCCGTTAATCTAAGGAAAGACTACGCTCGCTTCGCTCGCTCCGTAACAAACCCATTAAATGAATAGCGGAGAAATAACACGTAAAACCATATGCACAAAAGAGTAAAAGCGAAGAGTTAACGAGATGTTGCGGGAATATATACGTGAAACAGCATCATAAGGCATCGGAACATCTCGTGAATATGCAACAATTCTAAAAATGTGAAGACCACAGTGGAAAAGCTTCAATCGGCAAATATTCTGAAAAAACACATTTGAAGAAAAGAACAACGCTAAGCATTATTTTCAGCCAGCTGAGAAGCGAATCATACATCGGTATCGGTATCATGCGAATCATGCATCGGTAATCAAAAGCGCAAATGTCTGACTCTTACCAATGGATGCGGTGCCGTGGGCGTCACTGGGCATCCGACTGAACATGTTGAAGAGTCCCAGCACGGTGATGAGCACGCTCACCCAGCAGAACGTCAGCTTCTGGGGCGACTGAACCGGGATCAGGAACGACAGCAGCATCAAAACCGATGAACCTGCGACCGGTGAGAGAGTTTGGTCAGTTCATCACTCATGGAGCAGCATCGGGAGCGGTCTAACTTCTTGGACGCGAATAGTTAGTCAAATGATACACAGGGAAGCGTGGTCAGGAACGTAGCTCGATGGCATGCAACTTCCGTACCTAGTTGGTTTGTCCCGCTTGAAGTAAAGTAACACGACCGCGTAGCTTGATCGCGGCCTGACGGACGGGGGCTTCTCAAAGACAATGGACACGAGCAGCCCCTTTGTCGCCGAGCTTAACTACGGGCAGTGCTTCGTCACAGAGCTGACCCACGAGGAACACTCCGTCACCAACCTGAACCACGAGGTACTGCCACTCACAGACAATGGGCACGGAGAGCTCGGCGGTGCGGTGCTCGTTCCTCCGCGCCGTGATCATGAACGTGATGGAGTGATAGGCCTCCGGGCAGCAGTCGTAGTACTTGACCTCGCGCTCGGCCGTGAAGTTGGCCACCTCCCACTCACTCGACTGCAGCAAATCGGAGACGTCCGCAGCAGCCGCCTATAACAGGAGAATGTCGGCTTAAGACTGCGAAGGCGCACAAAGCATGCTCCGTTAAAAATGGGCCCTAATTACAGCTACTCAAACAGTCAAACATTAGCCCATCGCGATGGGCTTTGATGTATCGGACTAACTTTTCTAACTTTAGCAGCCCGTGTGTGAGTTACTGTTTACGTCTCAGCTCGTTCTCCCTATATCCCGGTTACCAGTCCGCCCGGCTACCCACTGCCACCACCCCACGGCCGCTCACCGCATTGCCGCCGTAGTAGCTGACGTTGAGTCGGTTACCGTCGTAGGTCCACGAGCCAAACTTGAGCCGACACGAGGCCACATCGCGGGGCCAGTTGGTGCGGTCGAGTTCGCAGCGGTGCGATAGCCGTACGGGCGGCACGATCAGCACGCCTCCCTTCGAGTCGACGATCGCGTTCGATGAGAGTTTGGCCATCACGTGACACGACGTGTCCCAACTGCAGACGAGAGGCTTCTGTGAGACGGATACAGGTTCGTCCGAAACGGTCGCAACGTCGTCAAAAAGCACCAAAACCACGAGCTAGAGCATTGTCGTTCAGGACATTTTCTGAATCAATCAAGTGATACCGTCTCAATGTCTAATGCTATGAAGTGATGCAGGCCGACTATTGATCAGCGAACATCCCGGTCAACCCGCTCATGCGCCGAAGTGTCCTGTCTTACCCGTTATAGAGACAGATATCGGGCATCCAGATGTGATTGGGGTTGAAGAAGCTCTTGGTGAGGCCGTCGTATTCGCTCGGCTCCCACCGTAGGTATTCGTCCACCCACATCTGCGGACAGGCATCACAGGGACTTACGAACGGCTCATAGACGCATGTACACCTTTTTACGCTAAACTTAGGCGGAAGTGCACGAATTTCAGTAATAGTGCAGACTGCAGGCGACTTCGACAGTACAGCATAGTCTGTCTATGGCGAACTGTCGAAATCGGTTGCACTATTTCTGAACTGTGTGCACTTTGTCTATATTTGGCCGTAAAAAGGTGAAGACGAGGCTATGGGAGATACTTGGAGGATTTTGGTAAGATTATTGCTTATCCGTAAAAGTGAAAGTTGCGAACAAACTGTGTCAAACAATGAGGACTTTAAGCTAACATGATTACGGAGCGAGCGAAGCGAGCGTAGTCTTTCCTTAGATTAACGGAAATTTCTGAGTATGAGCGGCCGGCCGGCCGGCCGGCCGTGCGGACGCTTTTGCGAGGCTTATATCTCAGCAACCACTTGACCGATTTACATGCGGTAAGGGTGACCCCTTATGCACGTGCCACGTGCAAAACGAAGAGGTGTCAGTTTTGTAATTGTTGCAATATCTCGGTAACTACTTGGCCAATTGCGCTGAAAGTTGGCATGTAGGTAGGCACCCACTAGGCACTGCATATCCATGTGCCAGAGTTGAGGTGCTGCTGCACGTGCGCACGTGCAGGGGTCGATTCCAGATCTCGAGAACGGCTGAACCGATTGCGCTCAAATTTGGTACACAGTTAGGGACCGGTTAGTAGGGTGCCGCGCATAAGTCAGTTGGGACCCATTTTGCACGTGCGCACGTGCAGGGTGCCGCTTCCAGATCTCGAGAACGACTGGACCGATTGTGCCCAAATTTGGCACATCGCTAGAGACCTGTTAGTAGGGTGCCGTGCACAAGTCAGTTGGAGGTACCCCCTCGCAATTTCGCACGTGCAAGGCCCACCCTCTCGCTCGCTCCGTTAGTCGCCCCAAAAGGCGTTATACTGGTGACTATAAATGTATATGCTATATTTGGTAAGTAAATACTGGATACGTGGCTCATCAGAGAGGACGAATGGGAGTTAAATTATACCTAGAACGTCTGCACTTGCCATCTGTCTCAAGGACAACGGATTGTGCCAGTCATGTTCCATTCTCGGTACTCACCGCCCGAACCCAAACAAGGGATTCCATGACATCGGAGACGGGGTCCTGACAAAGGACAAACAGTCAGCGTAAATAGCCACTTATGCGAGCACAGACAAAACAGTCACCATCCTGCTCAGCATGTCTCAGCACATTTGAAACGCTCCAACTTCTCGGGCATTGTTCGCTACGTCACATTTACTGTTAGTATTTTTTTCTTCAGATTTTCCTTGCGTAGCATCAATTATTGGCGCAAAGCACGCATTACGTGCTGCATTCATCAAACCTCTGCGCTCTGCAGAAGAGGAAGCAAGACCACTCGCGAAAATATTGGTGGGGCTTCGCAAGTGATACCTATTCCATATACCACACGGTAATACATGAGCCGCCAAGTTTACATCCACAAAGGCCCACCCATTATGCGATTGTGAACACATGGAAAAGTGGAGCGGTACTGACGATGGTAAAGTCGATCAAGCCGAGACCCATCTGCAGATGAACCGTGTCCGATTCGTTCAGCACGGGACGCGTCTGACGGTTGTACCCAGCCAGGAGATCGGCGTGCAGCCGCTTCTCCTTGAGAACGCAGCCGGCTGTAAAGGAAGCAAAGTCAGCAATACAGACATGATGTTCGAGAGAATCATTGAAGATACATACCTATTGCACGTCGCTTGCAAGAGATGGTGCTTTAGAACACGATACTAAGGACGTGTTTGATGGAAATGGTTTGTAGTTTTTGCACGAGTACAATATCGTGTTTGGGGCGCCTCCGCGTCGCCGCGCTTTTTGCATACATCCTGCAATCTGACACTTATGCATTACTTGCATCCCATGTTAGTGCAGATGCACCTTGTGATTCATCCTGTCACGGGTCACGCGTGCAGAGTCGTAGAGGCGTACCCAGAGCGGTGCTGGCTCGGGGTCAACTCTGAACAGTCGGAGGACGGACGGGGGGGGGGGGGGGGTCAGAGGCCGGTGGGGACGGGAGTAGAACAAACGGCCACATCCGGCGGTCGTAGGACAGCGTCAGAGAATAGGAGCCGGGATGCTGACATGACCAAGGACATCAGACACATCGAGGGTCGACACTTAGGCACAAACGGCAGCAGAAGTTGCCTCACGTTTAGGGTCTGGATAATATTGGTTGTACAATCGACTTCGGTACACAGGTTTATGGGTCTATGGTTGTACCCATGAGCACTTAGTCGGTCGTACCATAGTGTGTGTTACCATAGTGTGTAACTATGGTAACACAAATATTTACCTGAAATGAGCAGCGAGGCTCCGACGGCGAACAGAAGGGTCCGTGATGCAGCCATGTTTATAAGTTCAGTCCGGCCCGGTCGAAGACTGAACTCCCGCTGGCACCTGCAAAGGAAGTCATCAATCACACAAAGCCGTATGACAAATGACAAAGTCATCAGTCATCACAGCAAGACCACTTGCGTATATATAGTTAGGGTTTCTCGAGTGATACCGATTTCATTATCCATGAAACGGAGTGTGAATACGGAAACGGAAAGGAGTAGAAGAAATGGTTGTTTTTATTCGATTCAAAACGATTTACAGATAAATATTAGAATCTTATCGATTCATATTAAAACAGCTGAAGCCAGCCGTCTTCCCATCTGCCTCTCGTCCCCCTCTGTCTCTTCCCTCCTTTCCACGTGGGAGTGACGCAGCACTCTGACCGGATATGCATGGTTACTGCTCGGATGAATGTGACCTTTCCTCGCATCGCCCTCCGCGCGTAACCCAATTGCTGCTCATTGGACCTTCTTGTTAGTGCCACCCGTACTATTGACGGGCTCTTTAGCCATTTGGTTCTGTTCAGACAATGGGCTGATAGCGTAAGCAGAATAAGCAGATGACTGTTCTGCTATACAATCTGCTGTTTAATCTTATTTCATCTGCACGAAGCGCCTGATTGGCACTGCAGCTTGCCCTTTCTTGGTCTATCTACAACTTTTGATGCGAAGCTATATATATATATATATATATATCATGCATCGGCACAAGCACTCCAGTAAACGTCAAGTGAAAACTGAGAAACGTTCGGGCTCTGGCCTGTAGTCTGGTAGACAGTAATCAAAGATGACCTGTGGGCACACTAGAATCTACTTCTTGGCTCCTTGTTCGGACTTAACATTCGTCCTACACGTTGTCTAACCCGTAATCTGGTTTGCATGCCCTGATCTGACCTAGTCGGACGAGATGTTTTGCCCACGGGCCACAGCCGGCTGTTTACGTTACAAACGTCTTGCTTTACCGAATACGTCGTTTGAACACTCGTAAGAAGCAAATCACGCACACTGCAGCAACAGTGATGACATGTTTTATCATCGAATTATCTATTACAGGCTACAGCTTTTAAACTGGCATTTGGGTCATTATTTCTTATGTTGGTGCTCGCCAGTCGCCAGCAGCAAGGTGCCGCACGCGAGTCCGATGGGGCAAATATATCACATAAACGCTGATAATTGTTATCCCGGCCACCCCGATTTCGTGGGTCTAGCGATTTATACCTACTTTTAAGATAGTTGCAATTTATAATAACCCTACACTCACAATAACCAGACAAATTACAATGAACCGACCACTGCATCATAGCAAGGAATGCGACAATTGAACACCAGGTCAGGCAATCGCTAAAGTGTTGCAATGTTGTTCTCTACAGGGTGGGGCAGAAAGATTTACCTGTTTGTTTTCAGTCCATTACTCAAAAAGTTATGAACGGATTTTGATAAAATTTTGCATGCAGCTTCCCAACTGACTCATATATCAACATTAGGATCGTTTTTGCATTTCGTAATATTTGTTGGTGAGCTATATGGCGAAGATGACTAAGAGAGCCCAAATTGCGTCGCTAAAGTAGGGTGGCCATATCTCCTGAAGCGTTGCCAAACAGCTCGGTGTTGCCGTAAAATTGTTTGCAGTGTAATCAAATGACTTAAAAAGACAGGGTTGGTGTCGACGAAGTCCATGCCAGGCAGAATAAGGGATATCTGCTTCAAAAAGCTGGTTAATATCGTGCACAAGAAGGTGTTTCAAGTTCTAAGCGAAGCATGCGCAAACTGCCAAGGGAACTCGGTGTTTCGCCCAGAACCGCCAGGAGAATCATAAACAACGGCTTGGGCTTTATTTCATACAGGGTGCAACATCGGCACCTAATTTCGGCGGCATCCAGCGAAAAGCAGCTACACAGGACCCAAAAGACATTGGAGGAGATCAGGAGCGCCGGTAACAAGGCATTCTTCTGGTCCAATGACAACATGTTCATTGTTCATGCTTGAGCCCCAGAGACACTCCCAAAACGTCAGGATTTTGGCAGATGGTTCATCCAGCATTGATCCTGCTATTCGCACCATTTTTCGTCGCCAGAAGCCTGCTGGTGTCTTGGTTTGGGCTGCCGTCGCATCCGACGGCTCAAAAGGATCCTTGGTCTTCATCAAGGAGGCTGTGAAAGTTAATTTACAGGTTTAAGTCCATCTGCTGGAGGAGCATGTTTTGCCTTGGGTCACTCAGTCGTTCCGAGACGGATACGTCTTCGTCCAGGACGGTGCGCCGCCGCAAACGGCCAACATCGCTCAACCGTGGTGGAAGACCCACATGCCTGGGTTCTGGGACAAAGACATTCGGCCATCATCAAGTCCAGACCTGAACCCGATGGACTTCGCAATCTGGACCATCTTTGAGAGGAGGGTGTGTGCAGCAGCACAAAGCAGAATCGCCGCCCTGAAGCTGGCCCTCGAGACGGCACCGTCGAATCTTGGCGGGGACACCGTGCGGCGCTCGTGCCCCTCCGCAGAGGAACGTTTCGAGGCAGTGGTGAAGGACAAGGGTGACCATATTGAGTCATAATGCCGTCGCTGAGAAGTGGACATGCTATACTGCATATATGTGCCAGAAATCAATTTGATATCTTTGTTCAGGGCCGAAATATTTAAGAAAATCAAGAGGTAAAACTTTCTGCCCCACCCTGTAAGTGTAGAATTAGGCATACCTACTGTAGATGCAACATTCAGTGTCACTCGATCTCAGCATTCATTTTCCAACATGCTAGTTCGACTTCGGAACGAATAAAATCAGAATGCCAATACGCATACCTAAGCAAAACACAACCATCCACTTGAACTCGGATGAACGGTGAACCCCAGGCGTCGTCAAAGTGCGACTCAAGAACTTCGCGGGGACTATCTGCAAGTCGCAGACAACGGCGACGTATCGGTCTGACAGAGTCTACCACGTGACCTGTTCGGCCGGACGCGCCTAGCGACAGACGCGTGACCAGTTTTTGTTTGGTCTGGAGGCTGGGGGCCGTGATCGGCGCTAGATCCGGCTGGAGTCCAGTCATGGCGTCTGATGTCCTGAACGACATGGCGTTCGGTACAAATACGCTCTGTGTGCCATGTGTCAGCTGAGATTGCCGGTTGGTGGACAAAGGTGGTGTCGATTGTCAAAGTTCACGTGCCTCGTCATCAGCTAAGCTAAGCGCTTCGATCTCTGATCGATGTGGGGTGTTTGAGAGACCTGTGTTCACAAGGTTGGAACGAAGTCTTGAAAAACTGGCGGAGAAGTTCACTGTCATGGACGCTCGTTCAAGGTGAACGCCGAAGGGTTGTCGGTCGGGACGGGCCGACCGATGACCTTGGACTAGGGCAGACGGGTAAACGCCGCCCACCGGTAGACGGGACGCACGTGACGGATCAGGATGTTTTTCGGGTCCATGGTCACCACGATGGCATTGTCATGGGTGCAACAGACGGTGCTCGAATTCGGATTTCATACTGAGCATGAGCCCAGTTGGCGTTAACATTGCATTAGACGTTCGAGTAAAAATATGCCTAGCAGTGAAAGTGAAAACACTGAAGAATCACATGGATGGATCGAACTCGCAGTCAAATACCGCATGCACATAGTACACACAACAGTGGACAGATGCCGGGTTCAGGTTCGGTTGGGGGAGGCTAAAATTTATCCAAACCGTTAGGCTCGCGTCTAAATCGCCATGATCGAAATTTGAACCGCAAATGGAAGCCCGTGAAATGAAATCAGCATCTAGCTCACAGCCCTCCCCAGGCCCGGCAAAATCCACCAATGTCCACACACGATCACCATTCCCAACTCCCAGTCAGTACTCACCTAGCTTATCGTGTCTTCCCGCAGCGTTGTCCGGGGCACGCGCACGGAGATCCTGACGCCCCGTCCTCAACCGGTCCCTCGGCTCCCGGCGACTGACGCGAGCCGCCCGGCGCGGCCGAGCGCGCTCCCTCTCCGCGGCGAGCCCCTCCGCCCGCAGTCACTCGCTAAACGGACAGATAGCGAGCGTCCCGCATGGGCGGCCCCGTGGAGCCGGCGACGGAGGGTGTCCGATTATCGAGTCCGGGCCATGTCAACAAAACAGGGCGCGCGGTTGGACAAAAACAGGGGCACGGGGCTGCGGCCGGCGCGAAAAACCAGTCACCCGGACGTCTTCCAGTGCGAGACGACGCTGTTGCCAGGCGCTACCTGAGGATAGGAAATAAAAATGCTGGCGTAAGACGCATTGCCTTCTGCGAGTGCGATTCACATCAGTGTTATCGAAGTATTCATTGGAATGCGGCGACTGCCAGAGATATCCCTCGGACAGTAGACGTCATCATTACAGGCCAGTACGGTTCCATGCCTCGTGAAAGATAAAAGATGAATAAAGCACTTAAACGTTTTCAGTGCTACGAATATGCTCATGTTGAATAACAACACCCAATTAATATACCATTTTCAAAAAGCACATAAAACGTAACAATTCACCTTAGTTTTAACGGCGAGGCACGTACCCGCTCTCCCCCAATGCGTCTGCTTGTTTGTTTTCCTGGTTCTTCAACGATGCATCGGTCACTTTCGACTAATCGTGGCGATTCTTCTGGTCCGACTTACTGTTCTTCGGAGCTGGAAGAGGCTGGCTAAAGCAAAGCCAGTATGTTATCATAGGGTGAGAAGACACGATTGGAACTGGGAACGGGTTACGGGGGATTGAGCATATGATCAGCCAGTTCCGACTTCCGAGTTCAGATATTCAGATTTGTCTGTAGTAGTTCATTATGTAGCAAAGCCCGTTTACCACCGGGCTCCCCAGCCTCTAAAGTCTACTCTCCTGACTCTGCCATACGCCGGTCCGGTCGGCGGATATGACCGATTGTTTCACTCCATCATGACCGGCCCTCAGTCCCTGACCTCGGTCCGCCGGTCGGCTAAACGGAATGAACCCGTTACGGCTCTATCAATGAGTTAGGGCTTACTCAGAACTCAGTCAAAAAGGGCTCACTAATAAACGGTCCGTTTGCTGAGGTGGCAAACAACCATTAATATCGACATCCTGCTGATGCACATTATAAACACTTATTTCCAGCATCTGCAATAAAATCGGCAAAATCCCCAATCGCTATATACACATAAAGATACTGATGCTTGATCTACATACCACTAAAAGAAAATTATTATAGAAATACATATATCATTCAAGAACATCGTCTCATGAAAGTGTCGGTTGTGATACGAAGGAAGTTCATGAAATAGGCAATATGCCATATTTATTACGTAGAATGTGAATTTTACCAATAATATTTATAAACAACATTTATGGGACTACAAATGTCTACACAAAACGGTGACTTTGACGGAAAAGCGCCCGGAAGCAAAGTGAAAAAAATAACACCAATCAGGAACGGTAAAATATAGAGCAAGTGTCACGGGAACCAATGGTTAGCCCCAAATAAAAGATCAGTTGACATTAGATAGAGGTAGAGGACATTTGCATTCGGTAACACAAATAGACAAGCGCATAAGATCCAACTAGTTACAATATTGCACAAGGATTTGCACTCCGAGATCACATAAAACTCACGATCTTGTCTCCACCAACAGAATGGCAGCCAGTACTTTCGAGCATCGAAGCGACAATCTCTTCGCTAATCGCCATGCATAATTCAATCTAAAACCCCTGAGCTCCGCGTTCGAACACCACTCCAAGAGATGTAGTCATGACAACCACTGCCTGCGTAGCCATGGAAACCGCCAACATCGCCGCTCATACAAGACGAGCGTACGTCGGACTATCATTACGCCGCTATCAGGAGGCGACCTTTGCCTGGAGCTCCCTCTTACGGACCGCCTCCTCCAGGATGAAGAGGTGGCTCTCCTTGACGTGCGGCATGGTGGTGCGCACCGCCTCAGCCAGGTTGTAGATGTATTCCGTGTTGGGGCCGGCCATGCCACGCGCCTCCACCACCACCTGGCGGCCGGACGTAGAAGCTTGGGTCAAATAATGCGCCGCATGCGATTCCCTCTCCCCTTCAATGATGCGATGAAGCATTCTGAGAACAAATACAAGTGCTGCAAAAATAGGCAAACGGCTGTAGTATTTTAAATGTGATAAGATAAGCTAGCCAAAAAGAGAGACAAAAGAAAACATCGCGTTAGAGTCAAGATAGTGTATCTCTGGAAACAGTCGCAAAGCTTCATTATTCCAAGCATCTACCGGTAAAATTTTCCCAGTGCAACTCAACCCCGGGCCCACATCCTAAATTCCCAGTTCCCAACCGACAGCACGTCAACCAGTCCCTATCCCAACTCCCAAGGCCCCCCCCCCCGAGCCAAAACTGACCGCTGCCAGCTCCTCCTCGCTGGTCGGACCGGTAAAGTACGGGTTATCCTCCGTCCCCACATAGATGGTGAGCCGGTGCGGCGGCCGGCGCTCGTCCTGCGGGTGAAACGCCACTGAGCGCCGCTCGTAGCCGCACCGTTCGCGGAAGTCCAGGTGGGAGAGCGTGGCCTCCACTTCGTCCGCCGGTATCTCGTAGGCTACGCCCCAGACACGCGCCTGCGCGACGGAACAATGGGAGGGGGGAAGGTGAGGTGAAAGGGTGAAGGTATGAGGTGAGGCCGCCCATTGGGGAGGAGTGAGTACATTGGTCAGCAATCCATGGGCCATCAGCTGGAGGTCGGGTAATAAAGAGTCGGCAAATCAATCAAACATCCAGATGTATTACGGATTAGCGCATGACAGAATGTGAGTACATTCACGTCCGATATTACGGTAACATTTTCTAACGGGAGGGTGAGATTAGCCCGTTCCTGTTCAAAGTCATACAATTCAGTACCAGCTGTCAAGTAAAAAAGTTGACTACATCCGTCCCCTGGGCATACATGAGGTAGGTACTTGCCCTCCGAAACACTACCCCATGCGTGAGACCCCGCTCACAAGGCTTTCTGACTTTTCCAATCAACACAGTAAATAGATATTCAAAGTCCCCTCCATTACACATTAAAATGGTCTAAAAGTAATTCGTTCATTACATTACCCTTCGTTACAGCTTGAAACGAGAAGGTATAATCGACATTAAAACCGCTGTTAGACGTTGATAACGGCTATCATTTCCGACGCACTATCAATTTGATTGAACGAAACTCATACACGTCAGTCAAATACAACAGCGACACTCAAGACCACTTTTTCCCACTGCACCGTTAGCACAGTCCGTTCGGAGTTTATGTTCTATTCACTCCTTGTCTAGTTCCAGACAGACTTCCTTCTCCGCCATCTCTGCCGCCCGCTCCACCAGCGGCGCCAGTATTTCCAGGTGGTCGTCCCGCGCCTCATGCCCCAGACCTCGCTGGAACTCCAGTACACGCTGGAAATACTCCAGCGCCGTGCCGGACGGTCCGTGCGGCTCCACAATCTCCCTGGCCAGCTGCTCTGGCGGCGCCGCGCCTAAGAAGTTGGGTCCTTCCGAGGTGGCTATGAACAACTCCACCTCCCACTGGGGAAGAACCAATGACTGCTGCGCCGGAGGCGAGTCTGACGCGTCCTCGGCAGACGTGGCGCGCCAGAAAGGCACCCGGCGCTGCTCGAACCAGCGCTCGCGGTGGGTGAGGCGGTCTCGCGCCGCGGCAGCGTCCGGGTGGTGCTCGTCCAGCTCATAAGCGACGCCCCAGACGCGGGACTGGAACAGACGCGGCGCCCCGGTCGCGCACGGTCGGAGCGGCGGCAGGCGAGCCGAGAGGGACCGGAGGTGACATCGGTCACCGAGATCATAAAGCGGAACCAAGGGGTTACATGGGACGCAGTACCCAGTATGGGAGAGGAGCAACGGTGACAGTAATGTCGACTCAAACAGGACAGTATTTGTGTGTTGAAAAGGAATGCTCTTTGAAAAGGAAAAGGAAGAATAGCCCTGCACGGTTTCTTGGTCTGTTACTTTTTACAATAATGTGACAAAAGACTTCTACCTAAATAATTAAACACATGCAGTCGTGGTCAGCTTAGTGGGATTGAGAACTGAAAAGAGAGTGATAGTAAGTGGCTTACCTCTGGGTCTTCTGAGGGTACCAATGTGGCAACACGTCCAGGCTGCAACAGAGAGTAGCAAGATAAATAACCCTACCACACCAACCAAAATAGTCAGAAAATGCTGCAAACCATAATCATTTTAGGTTTGGAACTTAAGTTTAATGATGGTGAAAAACATCACAATCTAAAGCATTAAGTGGCACTGCCAGCATATCATCATCAATCATGTACCAGCATCAAATATTTTGCTTCATGAAAGATAGATTCATTGAAATGAAGATGATTACTACCTTTTCTGGTGTGCCTCTGTGGTCGATTGACGCTTGCCAAAATCGTCTCACATAGCCTTTGATATAACCAATCTCTTTTGTCTTATATGGGAAGTCAACTTTCCAGATCAGAGAGCCATATCCGAAAATCCACATAACTATTGGCTGTTGCTTATGTAAACCTGTAAAACAGATGCAGGTTCAATTTATCCTGTCACCTGTGTTATGTCTGCCAAAGCACATCCAATAGGAATGCTTGTGTGGCATGATAACCCAGGATAATAAACCAATAATTGTAGGTATGCCCTGGATCAAACTTCAGCATCTCGAAGCTCACTTGCTCAGTGCCTAGTTTGAGTTCAGGGCTGTCTCATCCCTATCTCCGTAACGTGTCGTGTGCGACCAATGACGTCACGGCATTGCGGCGTTCTGATTGGGCGGCAGCTCTGAATCGCCCGACTGGTGGTCTCCGCTCGACAAGCGCACGTGTGCCGACTAGACATTTGTAGTGGCATTGACGGCAAAAAAAGTGAGGTAATGCAGAGCTCTGAATATACTTGAATAGAGTCTAAGCCGTTAGTAATACGTAAAAACGTCAGATAGGTTTCTTGTTCGTCTTGATTTGAGCTTTTATGTGATATAACTTTTACCTTAGTGTCGAGGTTGGCAGCTATGTGGGAGAGCCCTAAAGTGGGTCATTTTCCATAGGATTGCATTACAGCCGTCCGACCCTTCGTACCAGTGACGTCACGGAAATCGCTGCTTCGGCCTAATGAGGGACGCCGGTGAAAACAGGGCGCTGGAGGGCATATTAGTCACGTGACATTTGGAACTTCTCCCGCTCTATAGGCCTTCTATATGCCAAACGTCACGTGTAAATTTAACGAACCTTGATCAAATCGCCCCAGGCGCCCTGTTTTCACCGTCGTCCCTAATGAGCATACCTTCTATATAGGGCCTTGGTTTGAGTTCAGCCCACTGATAAAGGGGGGGGGCATTGAAAAATACGATTACGATCCGCTGGCATGCGAAATAAGTGGAATAATAATAAAATTGTAAAGTAGGCTAACACTCACGCAGACAAAAGGAAACAAACGAAAAATCAATCGGAAAAGAGCCCAACCCCCTCCTGCACTTGGTAATTGGTACACAGCACATCGATATGTAAACAAAATATTTGATTGGTCTTTTTTCTGCTTAAGCAAATGATGAGCAGCTGCTCGTGAATCTTAAGCCAATGAAATGCTGACTTTGCTCTGTGGTAAAGATTCTGAACATTAGGGTTCTCAAGGCGTTATTGTAACCAAATTTTGAAGGGAAATCCTTCTTATAAAGTATTATACCTTTATTATTTTCGATATTTTTTCATATTTTTTAGCTAAATATGCGTGGTATTGTTTCAAAAAATATGCTTAATAAAAATAAAAGACATAAGTTGGGTCTAACTAGAAAGATTTCATGTGTTTCACGTGCATTTTGAAAGCAAAGCTGTCTTTTTATTTTCCACAAGCATAAAAATTAGTTTTTCTTTGACAGCTAATGTGACGCTGTAGAATACCGACGCATGTACGTATTTCCCTGTGAATCAACGGAGAAGTTTGTAAAATTGGACGCCCACGGGCGAGTGGGTCAATTAGAAATTGTCCGGTGTTCGTAGTAAAATAGACGTGTGTTTTGTTTAAAGCACAGTAACTGTGCCTAGGAATAAGACGCACGAGTATTAGACTTAGATTCGAAGCTGCCAACTAACGGCTTATTCGAAGAGGTTGAGCGTCTGGTTCAGATGCAATTATTGTTTGCTGTTTCCTAGTGAATTTGTCAAGTATTTCATGGTTCTTTGCATATTTCAAGGTGTTACTGGGAACATATTGCCCCATACTTCAAATCAAGGACATTGTTTGCCACTTGTCTGCAAGAGAAGCAAACACCTGCAACAACTTTAAAAAGCCACCCGTGTAGCCGCCAGCCGTTACGATCCATCTAGTGGTGGTGTGTGAACCTGCCTGTTGAAGGATGTAATGAAGATATGACTAATGAACAATAGTGTTATGAGCATCAGTTTGCTGCAGAAGATTGATTGCATATCTCCAAAGAATGGCTAATTCCATGGAGAATGGTGTTAAAGATGAGCCCAAGACTCAATTTACTGCACGCGAGGGAACCTACAGGTTGATGACACATTCAGACTACTCCAGACAAAATAGAGTTGGTTATAGTAGTACAGGACATGGGAATATTCCTGTCAGAGTTTCATTTGTTACTGTAGATGATACATGTGGCCCAAGTGAGAGGATATGCTTTAATTATGGAAGGGAACTATATGTGTATGTGTACAAGGGTGTACAAAAGGTAAGCTTATCCTTTTGCACTGAACTTCTAAAATCTGCATATTGGCTGTAGCTACAACATTTGTTTTGTAAAACAAATTCTGATATTCATGGCTGAATCATGAAAATAATTGTAAAAGCTAAAGAACATGTTATTAATTGTTTAACATCTAGCATTTTGCATATTAATTATGACTTGAGGATTATCAAATGACAGATGTGACATATAATAGTGCTAATTTGCTGAGCATCATGTTACCTGTGATGCCTCCAGCTGCTTAACATGGTAATGCATTTTCTATGCTCCTACCATCTATGCAATGTGAAAATGTGTTAACTTCAGTGGCTGTGTTTTTCCTTGTCCTCTGTGTTTGACATTAGCAATTACCTTTACCCCTCTCTCACCCCATTTGCTTACGATCCTTTCCAGGCAGTGGATCTGAGCAAACCTGTGGACAAGAGGGTGTACAAGAGCACGAGTCCAACATGTCACGACTTCATTGTGTCCAAGAGCTCACCGGACTCAACATCTCTGCTGGTGGGCTTCACAGGCGGCCAGGTTCAGCTCATCGACTCGGCACGGCAGGACGCCAGCAACATCTTCAATGATGAGGTGAGCTCAATGGAAGGGTATTTTTGCACAGGATGGCACTCACTGGCTTGATAAGTGTGTTGGTTTGTGTGATTTTATATTGCTTTAATTAGCATCTATTCAATAATGATATGGTTAAAGGATGGAATCTTTTAGGGGATTTCAACTGAACCGTTTGTTTTTGGATTTTGCCTATAGTGTCGGAAAGACGACGGACGATAATATGAACGATATCGATTTATTTTAACGATATGAGAAGCCCATTCAAAGTGGTAAATGACGGTAAAATGACGAAGTCACTCGAACGATCGGGAACATGACAAACTCATTCAAATTTATGACCGCCGTTGTAGCCAGACCTATGTGGGGTTTCTTTTACCTACAGCACTATCCTGTCACTGACTGCAGGTCGTTCTACCAACTGTGGGGAGTAAATAGCGAGCACTGTAGCGACCCGGACCGAGAATCCACTATTGTTGCGATACAACGTCCTCCCAACTGATCATTAGACCAGGTCTCGTTTCCGGTTCATTTACAACCGATCCCTGATTGATGTTTTCTGTCTAGCAGCTTCTCAGGCTGGTGTCATGAAACACGACACCGAGTAGTTACATGGAAACTCACGGAATCCGCCTTAGGGTCCCGTGCCTCGTGTCGCCTTGTGTCGTCCTCATTCCAGCGTTGTGGCGGTATAGCAACAGCTGAACCCCCGCGCACACACGTATTATATTGTATCAATCAATGGAGCCATTGCTGTAATGTTGTTACCAGTACCACCCATTGAGCCGAGATATTGCGGTAATCTCTGTTGGTGACTCCGCCGGTTAAAAAGACTATCCTGCCGATATCATTTCAAAGATAGGCGTAAACTCTGGCCTAGTTGGCTGTGTGTCGGGACATTTTTGTTCGACGAGAGCGTCCTAGCCGTCGGTACGGATGCTGTGTGTCTGTGTTTGTATGAAGCTGGATGCATTAGTCCGCTGCTCCTCAGTTACGATATTTTGTCGTATGAGCATCCGGTTTTTAAAGTCATTCAATTCACCCATTCATACGTATTAGCCATCAGCATTGCCGCGAGGTCCTGCGAAATTTCAGCCCAACTGGTTATGGCAAAAGTTGTTCTCTACTTATAATAACTCCACTTGCTGCATAAACTAACATGCTTGACATACTTCCGCCTCTAGGGAGCATCGAATTTCCCGCCAAACTCAATACTACTTATGCTAATTTATCGACGGATGTATTGAATTGCAGGCAGACTCCGTCAGATGGTACTTAGGATCGTGCGTAGTTGCCGTCTTTATTGATCGGCAAACTTCTTTTCATTGTTCTTCACTACTACCAGCTCCGTTTTTGATCGAGCTCCCGACTCTCAAGCTGGCCCATTTTCGCAAGTCTCCCGTGCTGCTTGTGAAATTTTAACTTTACCATCCGGAAGTGTTACAAATGAATAAGTATCTTTTTTTAATGCTCTCTTTGTGACTTCAAAATTTCCTCAAGTTTTTTTTATAGCGACATTACCTATCGACATGGATGCTAAAAAATGCGTTTCACCTTCAGTACGAGTGTAGTTCTTCCTTTCACCTTTTTGTTCTTGTCACGAGTCTCGTTCCATGTCGTTTGTCATTAAGTCACTGCTACACAACTATCCGGCGGATAACTGGCGTTGATGTCTTGTGTTTCGGATAACTGGCATTTATGCCTTGTGTTTAAGATTGAGGCGCCATTTCAGATACCAGTCTTGTCACTTTGACAACCTGACTCGAGCAAATACGAGTGTATGAAAATTTGAATGATTGAAGTAGTCGATGACAGGAGTGGGCGAGAATAGGCATTCCAAGTGATCAATGCGCTGTAATGCGGATCGTTTACAACGTGAAATGAACTTTGAACATTTGTCGTGAATTTCAGTAACTACATATCTGTTGGCTACCATGTCGGCCGAAGCTGCTTTTCTCTCGAGCTAGTTTTTGGCGCCTTTTTACGCTCTATTACTCGAGTGCCGTCACCACTGATCAAATGAGATAGCCTATTGTTTGCGGCCTTACTGATTGTGGTTCTCCAATGCCTCCCACGCTGACGCTTCGGGCGGTAATGTGACTGCCACAACTAATTGTCAGTTTGTGGTAATTCATGAGGCTAGCTGACTTCTTTTTCATGGCATTGGCGGTACCGCTAGGTAGGTGTGTGACTCACATGCTGCTTACTTGATAACTTGCGATGTGTTTCGTTCCCTGTGTGGGTTAAGTGATTAAGCCGCTGTCTCCCGACTCTGTGGCACAAAGTTAGACACTGGTGATACCCGTTCATCCAAAAACTCGTGTCAAGCATAGGACGTTAGGGTGGCCAGTCTGCGTATCCGTGGTGTGGTGGAACGAGCTCTAATAGCTTGCACCCATGTCCACGTTCTGTAGTCACCATTCACTGATTTTTAGTCAATTTATAAGGAAGTGTTTGAAAACAGTTGTTTTGGGAGCTACGTACGAGTGTTTGCCTTGACCGTAAAAGTCATTTCCATATCTATCGTTTTGCCTCGGCAGAAGATTCGCTGGCCGGGGAAGGGGGAAGAGAGGAGATTGACTCAATTGATGATGGGCTTCACTCTACATATATGCACACTGAGTTAAGCTTAAGACTTAACATATCCATCTAAGCGCAAAACATTTTCTGGATGAGGATGAGAAGCATTTTTGTTGATTAAGCGTTATTTTTAAATTACGTCTGAGCAAGTAAGCAGCGACCATATCACCCAAACAAACATTAGATGAGGGTAAAATGGTTTGGTTTCCGCGTAAGTTCTTCGATGATAATATTTTTGTCAACTGCTTTTCTTTCGGGGGCTTTTATTAACTTTTATAAGAAAGCATTTACAATCAGCGTTTGAATCCAGCTTCCTTGACGGTCGACACCGAAGGGTGACATGACGCCCTATCGTTATCCTACTGTCAACACGCCTCTGTTCGTAGTAGCCACGTGGAGAAAGGCAGATAATGCTCATACAAATATGCTGTACACATTACAGGGTGTCCCGAAATTGATGCGCGATTGTTCTATCCTCAATAACTTATAAAGTGCTCGAATTTATTTCACGGCTTATATGTTATCATAGTCCCCATTCAGTTGCATACACGGCCTATTGCACTCTAGCGTGTCACGTTTCAGGTTGTCAAGAGTCTCTCCTTTGAAACAACGCCATGCCGCTTATATCTTCTGAAACAGCCTCTTCTCTGAGCTAGCCCGTGGAAGCTTGCTGAGCTCTTTTCTGACGATCGTCCAGATAATTTGGATCGGGGACAGGTCCAGACTGTTGCCAGACCATGTCCCCTTCTCCCAGAGGCCTGGGAGCCTCGCTCGGCACCAGTCCTGGGTATTCCTGGCGTGATAAGCTGGAGCCCTTTCTTGCTGGAAAATGGCCCTGGACATGTCCGACAAAGGTTTGAGTCTGGTTTTTGAACCATTTACCTTTTCCCTCAGCATCTTTGTGGCATCAGTCTTCTTCAGCACCTCGTTGACATAGTAATAAGCAGTCACGGTCTGTCCCCGAGGCACCCCGTGAAGCTCAGAGCGCCTCTGTAGCTCATCATGCTCCAAATGAGATTCTTCAGCAGACGTTTCACCGTCTCGACAGCGGACTCCTCAGAGCTGCCGTTGGCCCACATTTCGATCGTTCTGGCAGTTAGGGGCTTAGAGACCACAAAGGGCACCTTGTCACTGAAAAGGACGCATCTCCAGTCCTGAATGGTCCAGTTTTTGTGGGTCTTCGCGAAATCCAGCTGCCTGCACTTCTGGACCACGGTAGGCCAAGTCTGCATCCTGAAGCTGAGCAGCTTCAGCTTCAAGATAGTCTTCAAATACTGGTGGAGGGTCGATTTGGATGCTGGGACATGCATCTCATTCAGTTCTCTTGTCAGCGATGTTGAATGGTGCTTTTTAAAGGTCGACTTTGCAATCACGATTTTCGCCACTCGGCTCAAGGCAGTCTTCCGCCCTCGAACTGTGCTGTTCTTGAGTGTCTCTCCTGATCGTTTGCAGTCCATCCAAAGTTTAATTGTCGCAGAGTTGACGCCCAATTCTCTGGCATCCGGAACCTGGGTCACACCGTCCTTGATCATCCCCACCGCGCGGTAGCGGATCGGTAGTTTGTGCCTTTTCACTTTTGGTGATATGCGGTTTCTCCACGTTGCCTGTCCGGACAAGAGTGGCCTCCCGCGCCCACTACCGGCCGCGGTCGGGTTAGCCGCTTGGTTCACGTGATCGTGTGACCAGCAAGATGTCCGTGCTGCCAGAGCCGGTAAAATTGCAGTTGTTCAGCACTCGGGAGGGACAACATAACATGCGGCACCAACCGCGCATCAATTTCGGGACACCCTGTACACAATCACCGGCTCTTTTAATAATGCGGGGACCATGCTAATTGCTATTATTTTTATGCTTGGCACGTTGGTTTTTGTTTTAATTGGTAGTCTCTTTCTGACTATTGAGGCTATTTTTGACAATGGATGGTATGAGATGGAATGGACACTGGACAGTGGACAGTTCAGGCTCAAGCCTCTTTCACCACCTGTTTCGTTTTCCACTCCTGTCCTCCAGATGTCAATCCCGTCGACCCCCGCGGCCCGCGCTCCCGTCGCCTTTCGAGATGGCTAACCTTCTCGACTGCTATCTTTACCCGCTATCAGACATCGATACAATACTATCCGTCACTGAACATTGTACACGTGACAGAAGCGTGGACGATTAAGACGGACCAACGCACCGTGCTTTGAGATAGTATGCTGGCTTCTGAGCAGGGATTTCAGGGCTGCGTTTCATGTCCTCGTTGGATTGTCGTCCCGAAACATTTCGAATTGTCAGCTTCCTTTCAGTATTTTTGTCGTAGTTAAATTGATTGGACTTTAGCTGATAGTCTGTATAATATTCTAATATAACATGTTACAACTCAATTGGGGATTGATTGGGCTGTTTGTAGCGTCATGATGGAGAGCGATACAGTATCCCGGGGGATCGAATGACGATAAAATGCCAGTAATGCCTCCTATGACGTCATTAAAGCAGCCAAAGATGCTGCGCCGACCAATCCTGGGTGATGCATGACCTATAGAACCGATCACTTTCTTTGGGAAGAGAGCTGTACTGCTATTTGTGAACTGAGATTACATTTTTTATTCATTGATTTTGTTTTATTTGGTTATAATTCACATTCATGATGAAATAGATAATGCTTTTAAAACTTCAACGCGTCTGGAGGTGACTGCCTCTCGCATCTAACGGGCCAGTGTCACCCACATTGGAGAGCTCACATGAGACTTATCGGGTGATGTGCACTTTACACATTGCTTCTCGGGCTTTCCAAACTGGTCTGTCTGGTCAGCCTGGCTTACCGGGCAGCGATAACCATTTCGATGCGATAACGTATTGATTGACGCAAAGTTACACAATCAGCACCTTATGAGCGATCGTAAAGGTACTTATCGTCTTATGTTAAAACTTCTTTTATAATGAACTTATGAATGGTGAATAGATGTTTAATAATCAATTAATGATAATTAACCTACATGCACTGTGTAGAATAATAAACATATGCTACATCTCACGTATGATGTTTACCTACACCACGCTTAGTGCTGGAGACATCTCCAGGGTGTTAGTGGTCCATGGCTGAACCATTCGCGCATCCAATATTCATACGAACGCGATTATCTCTCTAGCTCGTTTTTGTGGTATCACACGGTCACACTTTTTGAGTTCACAGCCGATCATTCAGATGACCAAAATCTTTCACATTGTTATGCCATTGAAACAAACAGGTGCTTTGCATTTGACAGCCGCTAGCCTGTTGAAACCTGTTCGCCCGGTTGTGAGTTCTAATCCTCACTATCTTCTCTCCTCCCCAGCAACTGAATGCGACAGACGTTAACCTGTTCTAGTTATAACCTTCCCTCTTCTCTCTAGTTACTTGTAACCATCACCCTCTTCTCTGTAGTTCTAACCTGCCCCTTCTCTCGCCCCCAGCAACTGATCGAGAAGACCCGGGTGACGTGCGTCAAATGGCTGCCCAACACGCCGCACCAGTTCCTGGCGTCTCACGCCAGCGGCCACCTGTACCTCTACTCGGAGCGTCTGCCGTGCGGCCCGGCCGCGCCCACCTACCAGACCTTCAAACAGGGAGACGGCTTCACCGTGTACACCTGCAAGGCACGCAGCACGCGCAACCCGCTCTACCGCTGGGCGGTGGGCGAGGGCGCCGTCAACCGGTTCGAGTTCTCTCCCAGCGGGCGTTACTTGGCTACGGTCTCCCAGGATGGATGTCTAAGGGTGTTCCGGTATGATAACATGGAGCTGGCCGGGATGGCGCGCAGCTATTTCGGCGCGCTCACCTGCGTGGCCTGGTCGCCCGACTGCCGGTACGTGGCCGCCGGTGGCGAGGACGACCTGCTCACGGTGTGGAGCGTGGCCGAGAGGCGCGTGGTGGCGCGTGGCCGCGGCCACCGCTCCTGGGTGGCCGACGTCGCCTTCGACCCGTACACGAGCGTGGTGGACGGCGGCGGCGAGCCCGCCTCCAACGGCAACGGCTACTCGTCGGATGAGGGCGGCGCGGCGCCGGCGCCGCCGCTCGTCACCTACCGGATCGGTTCGGTGGGCCAGGACACCCAGCTCTGCCTGTGGGAGCTCACTGACGACGTGCTGCGCCGGCCGTACGGCCGCAGCCGCGCCAGTGTGGCCGGCGTGGCCTCCGAGCCGGCGCCGCCCGCCTCCACGGGCTCTCTGTCCGCGCGGCTCTCCTCCCTGGGGTTGGGCGGCGAGCAGCGCCGGGAGCCCGGCCGCCGACTCGGTCTGCTGCTCGGCGGACACCGCGCAGAGAAGGCCGCAGAGCGCGCCGGCTCGGCGGCCGGCGGCGGCGGCGCCGCGCAGCGCCGCGAGCGCGACCGGCTCATCGGCACGCCGGGCTGCCCGCGGCTGGCCGACTGTCCCATCCTGGAGCCGCACGTCAGCTGCCGCGTGTCGCACGAGCGGCTGACGGCACTGACGTTCCGCCGAGATTGCGTGGTGACCGCCTGCTGCGACGGCTACGTCTGCACCTGGGCGAGGCCCGGCACCGTCACGGTGAGTGCCGAGAGGAGGGTGGGCGTCTAGGGGTTGGCGGGCTGTGGGCGTCGGGGGTACGCTGGGCAGTGGGCGTCTAGGGCAGTGGTCGGCAGGTCATTCGGGGTCGTGCCCCCTTTTTGGGCGCCAGGCAGGGCCATAACCCCCACCTACCAGACCCCATTGCTGACACAACCAAGTTTACTGAAATTTCATACCGTCCTGGAACTCTTTGGGTATTTCTGCATTTCCGATGATTTAAATTTAAAACATGACACTTCCTCCACAAAACATTTAATACCTATATCCCAGTAGCGGCGGAACACCTTCAATTAAGGGGGAGGGGGGGGGGGGGCACTGCCGACTTTTGGTCCCATTCTTTCCATGCAACGCCCATAGGGCTAATGTTAAAATGCCAAAATCAAAGGGGGACACGGTGCCCCGGTGCCCTCCCCGTTCCGCCGCCTATGCTATATCCCATTTAACCCTTGTACGTATAGGGGCGGCGGGTGGTTTTTCATTAAAAGCTCACGTAAAAGGCATTGGATCACGACCAAATTGTACCCTCGAGCCCATAATTTTTTTTTACCAGCCCGGAAAATATCATGACCTGAGACCAGCTTTACCAACAGAAAAATAGCCGCCTGCCGGAATTTTTGCCTCAAGACCCCTTCACATACGCGAGTAAATGCGATGGGCACGTAAGCGGATAGGGCTTTACCGTTAACGCTCCATATGTGAAACGATCTTTAGGCAAAAAATTCCGGCAGGCGGCTATTTTTCTGTTGGTAAAACTGGCCTCTGGACCCATAATGACCGTTGGCTTATGAGCTTTTTCTGGAGATAATCTTGAGCCATTAAATCTCACTTCAAGTAGTTATAGCGGGTCCCGATTTTCTCGACACTTGTCATTGCCCTCTTGAATGAGACGGAACGACCAAGGACCTAAAAAATGGGCAGCAGCGGCTTCCTATTGTCACGGGTAGCACGCCCGTCTTTTTATGCACAGCTCCATCTCAGAGTCCGAGAGGCCGCGGGGGTCCGATCGACTCCTCCCCCTTACGTTAGCGGCTGTTGAAACGCCAACAGACTGGCGACGGTTGAAAGTTGCAGCTGCTTTTGTACGACTGCACGGAGGGGTGAGATGGTGAGGCGAGCAGGTACGTGAAAATTGGTATCGAACCAATGTGTGCTGTGCCTTTGGCCTGGGCTAATCTTTGAACCCTGGGATGCAACAGTCACGATGGCTCCATCACTGGAGCTACAAACTCTAAAAAGATAGGCTTTCTCAGAATCCCTCATTACCCCCACCGAAAGGGCTCCATTACCCCCAAAGGGGGCATGCCCCACCATTTGCCGACCCCTGGTCTAGGGCATGGTGGGCTGTGGGCGTTTAGGGCACGGTGGGCTGTGGGCATGGGCACGGGTGAGTACCGCGAGGAAGGTGAGCAGCTCGCTTGTAAGCAGCATTGTTCGCACGGTGAGTTACTCACTAACGGCAGCAGGCGACTGGTGATACGTTGCAGATAAGCAACACTTTCTTCTCGACTGTACAGTTGACTACACAATATTGTTCCGCCCCTCACAAGCCATAAGGTAACTGGAATGCTAGGTTGTGCCGTTTAGCGCGCAATTAAGCGAGCCTATGGCGATCTCAGGCCGCAGGGTCGCAGGGACAGGTTGCGTTACTCAACATGATGATGTGATCATGATCAACATGTGATGCGGCGCAGCCTACCATCCCAGGCAACTGATTGCCTGTCAGAAATGGAACATCATTCTGTAGTCAACTGTACATTGATATGCCGTGCGCTCTGCCGTTCTCCCGGGACATTTGAATCTCCAAAGTGGTCTCGCTCTTGACCAGATTAATGAGTTATTTGTTTCATCAAAATCTTTGTTACTCATCTCTTCCCTTACTTCACAATTTTCATTTAATATCGCGATGAACCCACACTAGTCAATATGCAACCAACTATGCGCTACACGGTTAAGTCTATTTGCGCTGTGTTTATTTGACTGTCATTTGTTCGAGTTTGCCATTTGCCATTTGACTGTGTTTATTTATAAAGGACTCCCTCGACCCGCCATTAGTGATTGCGATAGTTGTGATTGAAAACCTGCCTTTATCAATTTGCGTCACGCCGTAAGCTTAATTGAGTAGGTACAGGCGAAATGTCGTCTTAGATGCCTATTTATCTGTTTGGTACCTATTCTCGTCCATCGTAAACATATGGAATTACAATGTGATAAGTTTGTACGTGTATACTTGGTTCTTGTCCTCTTTCTGCCGTGCGAAGGCAAAAGCTACTGTGTGGGGTCAGACTCTGACCTCATATAGTAGTTTTTGCCTTCGCACGGCAGCTTTGTGCACCAGTCACCTGTCTGTCTCTACCATCTGGTCACCGTACGATGGCTGCTGACCTAACGTGCCACTCGCACCGTCCCTTGTGGGCTCAACCGAGCGGTCAGGCGCCCTTGGCACTTCCAACCCAACCCCTCCGTCCACGGGTCCCACACGACCCCCCTGGCGCCTCAGACCTTTTCGTCCTCGGGGCCACTAAACTACCCTGTCAGCTGTCCCCCTGCCCATTCGACCACGTCGGTGCCTCTGACCTCCCACTCTCCGTCGCCGTCAGGGTGCGTGCTCGAGCTCGAGTCCAGCGGCCACGCACGGCGACACGAGCACCGTGGTCTGACGCCCCGGCCGGCACCAGAGCCGGTCCCAACTGTGATAGAGAGCACGGCCGCGCCACCTGTGCGGCGCCGGCCCAACTCGAGTCTGCCGCTCGGGCCGGCAGATGGCGCGTGGAGCGCTCCGTGTCGCGCGGCCGCCGCTCGGGTCTCCTGCTCAGCGGCCGCCTCCCTCGTGCGCGCGTGCAAGATATTTATAGTGAAATATATGGTGCTTCGATTGTGTCGGGTTTCAGAGGGTGTAAGGTCATAGGGAGCGGGACGGGACGAGGGCGGGGAGGGGTCGGAATGCGGGATGCAACAGGATGGGTTGATGACAACTCGAGAGCCGACTGCTGGCTGGGTGCGAAGAACACGGGAGTATGATAAATATAATCTCGCAGACTAAATGGAGACAGCTGTTCAATATAAAGTCACTCGTGTATTGAGTATTGCAACGTTTAAGTGCTTACACCAATCTTCGTTCGCAGACGATGGGGTGGTCGCTTGCCAGCCAATACCTGAGTCTCACCCTGGTTCTGAACAGGTCTGACCTGAGAGGCGGGCTTCGCCCGAACGTCCAAACACTGGACTTTCACGAGAGACAAACCGGACAAACCCAGCGTGAGCGGTGACGCCGTACCATAGATGTACCTATATCTACATATGCGCCGTACGGTCGTCTGAAGGAGGGTGACCTGCTCAGGTCACCCATGTTCCGAAACTACCGTGCAACTTTTGATAACTCTCATGTGGTCCAATTTAAGTGAACCGATAAAAGCTTATCAATACTTTTACTTATGAATACCCTGTACAGTAGGCCTACAAAATAAGTCCCCGCCGTATGCGGGTCGCCAGTGGGCAGGTAGCGCCTGAGCGCTACTCGGGCGCCACCTGCCCGCATACGGAGAGGACTCATTTTGCATACCTACTGTACCTACCTATGACTTTCCGAATCGGCTCAGCACCTACGTAGTATCGGAATACCGGCTCTTCTGCAACGATGTTAGGGTTTTCGAACTGATTTGGTCCACTTAGAGGGTAACAGTCAAAAATTTTCATGAATGACACCGTCTTAGATAACAGCGCATTGAAAGGTAAACATTTCTTTGAAATCACTTCAGTAGTTTTGGAATTTAGGCTTGCCTGCTTATCTTGTCTGCTTTTTAGACACCAATTGCCCTTTATTTATTTTTGATCAAGGTCAGTAAGCGTCAATCTTAGGAGTCAAGCTAGGATAATGACGTCACTGGCTTTTATACTTTTTCCTGGATGATGATGCGTATCATCATCTGTCTTGGAATAAGTGAAAAGTTTTCAAAAGAAGAGGCAATAACAAGAGCGGCATCAACTGAGAGTAGTCATATTTATACCCAACTTGCAAAATGTATATTCTCAACGCACTCTGATTGGTTCAATTATTATGACGTCATAAGACTAATTTGTAAAGCTAGCAACAGCAGATCCCTTATTAATTCACTCACCATACACCGGAGACGTTTCCACACTGTTGTGGAGTTGTGTGTGTGTGGTTTGTGTGTTGGTTTTTGTGTTTGGTCGGTGAATAGAGGAGGAAAATTGTATTTGTTCGGGAAAGGTATGCTTATGAAGGTTGCAATTTTATTTCATAATTCATTGATCGGTATGTTCGACATGAAAGTGAGTGTTTTTTTTTCGATAACTACCAGTTTGAGTTGCTTCTCGACAATGAAGTGCGAACGCCGTAACAGTAATAAACAGATTGAGATGTCTTCTGCAATGTTTTTAGTAATGTTGATGTGTACCTAATAATTTAAATGTGCTGATGGTTAAAAATCTGACGGTTGTTGATATTTCAGGGTGAAAACATCAATACCAATCATATTGGTCCAGTAAAATTAAGGCTAGGGCCATTAGGGCCACTTTTCTGCATATTCACAATTGTTGTTAATATGGGTTTCTTGACCATGAAGACTTCCTTCTTTCTTTTGACCATTTCAAGCACATGTTGGTCTTTGTCGTACCATAATAGGTACCCTTTGGTAAGTATTCCTGCTGTGATAAACTTGAGGGAATTTTACTCTTACATCTCTTCTCCTTATATTTTTCCGAAGGATATAATAGTCTGGTATTCTTATAGCAGGTGTCTCACATGCTGCCACCGGTTTGGGAAAAGTCGCTAGATTCGTCAGGTCTAGAGATATTTCTACCAGCTCGCTATATAGGGTAATTACGTAGCGGTGATTTCAAAAACGGAGTCAGTTTTTCTGAGGGGGGTAAGGGGGGTACAACAGATGACTTGTTTCCCGGGAACGCCTGATCGGAGTCAGGCTTGCAAGGCCGCGTTGGAAAGCGTTCGAGTCGACAAGCCTAATGGCTATTTAGTAATGTGAATTATCATCGGATACTGGGGGAGGGGGGGGGGGTGCGTGGGGGATTGCCCCTTGACCAATAGCTCGGGAACGGCTGATCGGAGCCAGGCTTGCAAGGCGACGTTGGAAAGCGGTCAAGAAGACAAGCCTAATTAGTAATGCAAATTATCATCGGGATGCTGGGGGGGGGGTGCGTGGGGGGATTGCCCCTTGACCGATAGCTCGGGAACGGCTGATCGGAGCCAGGCTTGCAAGGCGACGTTGGAAAGCGGTCGAATAGACAAGCCTAATTAGTAATGCAGACTTTAACATCGGGATACTGGGGGGGGGGGGTTGCCCCCCTGACCGATAGCTCGGGAACGGCTGATCGGAGCCAGGCTTGCAATGCGGCGTTGGAAAGCGTCCGAGTAGACAATCCTAATTAGTAATGCAAATTATCATCGGGATGCTGGGGGGAGGGGGGGTGCGTGGGGGGGATTGCCCCTTGACCGGTAGCTCGGAAACGGCTGATCGGAGCCAGGCATGCAAGGGCCCTGTTTCACCGCCCGACGCTGCGCGCGCTGCAGCGCGCTGGAAGCTGAGGCACGTACCCCTGACGTCACTCAAATGACGTTGCGTACGATCCGTTAGCTTATGGTAAATCGCGTTTCGAACAGAAACCTTGAAGAACCTAGTACCAATTGAACAGAAGTTTGAGTGCGAATCCTGCTAGCGTGCGGATGGTGCTGGCGCCGCGGTGCTAGCGTTTTGCGATGACGTCATAGCGTAGCGTCAGAGGGAAGTTTGTTGATATTGCCATGGAAACCCAACGCGCCGACGCGCGCAGCGCACTGCAGCGCTCCGCCGTGAAACAGGGCCAAGGTGGCGTTGGAAAGCGGTCGAGTGGACAACCCTAATTAGTAATGCAAATTATCATCGGGATAATAGGGGGAGGGGCGCGTGGGGGGAGGGGGGGGGCGGTACTAATTAGGATTGTCTACTCGAACGCTTTCCAACGCCGCATTGCAAGCCTGGCTCCGATCAGCCGTTCCCGAGCTATCGGTCAGGGGGGCAATCCCCCACGCACCCCCATATCCCGATGATAATTTGCATTACTAATTAGGATTGTCTACTCGAATGCTTTCCAACGCCGCATTGCAAGCCTGGCTCCGATCAGCCGTTCCCGAGCTATTGGTCAAGGGGCAATCCCCCCACGCACCCCCCCCTCCCCCAGTAAAAAGAAAAAAAACTGACGCCGTTTTTGAAATCACCGCTATGTAATTACCCTATATAGCGAATTGTTAGAAATATCTCTAGACCTGAGTCCTGACGAATCTAGCGACTTTTCCCAAACCGGTGGCAGCATGTGAGACGCCTGCTATAAGAATACCAATAGTCTTTCTGTTCTTCCTCTATGTCTCCTTAATTACTCACCTCCCTTTCTATCTCTCCCCACCCTCCTTCCTCTCTCTCTCTCTCTCTCTCTCTCTCTCTCTCTCTCTCTCTCTCTCTCTCTCTCTCTCTCTCTCTCTCTCTCTCTCTCTCTCTCTCTCTCTCTCTCTCTCTCTCTCTCTCTCTCTCTCTCTCTCTCTCTCTCTCTCTCTCTCTCTCTCTCTCTCTCTCTCCCTCTCCCTCCCCATACCTGGAACCTGACTGAAAGAGTATGGTGTGCACTGTGCCATATTATCAACAGACTAGGTCCTAAGTGTTTTGTTTTGCTCTTTAGTCACCATTTCTTGTATAATTCCAATCATATATGATATGAAGGGATAACTTTTTTAATTTTAGAAGATGATCTGATATGATGAAGATGATAGAAGTTAAAGCAAAGTTTTATAAATATCTTTGTGAGTGGTGTTTAGTGTTGTTTAAATAGCACCACCACTATGTCTGGCAGAGGGCACCCGGAGAACAGGAGCCTCCGCCACCACCTCCAAGGCTCACAGCCACTGTCCAGCCAAGGGTGATAAACGCCAGCCTGGACCACACATATGAAGATGTTGTCAATGCTTTAACAGAGTTCATCTACGTATTCAGCGTTGCCAACATGTCATCGGTGAGTGAATGTTTGGATGATTACCTAGCTGACTTAGTTCATGGCAATTGAATATTGATGTGTTGTTGGCATTCTGAGTTATGAAAAAATCTTATTCCGGAGTGGACTGGTGGCAAGAGCCCAGTTTGTGTCACTTCAGTGCTTGCTGTTTTTCCCTTCTGGGAGAGTCTGTGGTCTCTGTAAGTGGTCGTGGAGACATGATACAGGCTGGATGATTTTGTGAATGCCTGGCTCCACGCCTGACTACATAAACTCAGTGGATGTTGGGGTTAAAAGTAGCCTGAGTTGACAAGATCTGCAGATTGGGATTTGGAATCCATAGCATTAACTATGTCTGAAGTTATCCCCCAAGGGATTCTCATGATTGCGAGCTTGGGAAGTCCATTCACTCAAAACCCTTGTTGATTTGAAAGGCAGAAGTATTTATCATGGGATGTATAAAGGTATTATGTTATCAGTATTTTAAAACTCGGTGGTTTATTGCTGTACTGCTGCCAGCTATCAGCGTCCGCTGTTAGTGTGTTTATGTCTCCTTCTGTTACAAAGGTCCCCCTCTCCTCCGTCAGGACTCTGCGCTGCGCGTGTCCGTGTCCTCCGATGACGCCACGCTGGACCTGCCGCTGCTGTTCGCCGTCCGGCAGCAGAGGGGGATCCTCTCCTGGCCCGTGCCACTCTCGCTGAAGAGGGGAAATCAACAGTGAGTCGAATGTGTTCTTGTAGTCGTAATGTTTTGTAAACGATCACTTAGCCGCATAGGTTGAGGTTTGAGCCGAACTGGGGGTACCCGAGCTGCTGTCCCCAATCCACGCTAACTTGGCTGTGGAACTGCAACGGACGGCGAATGTCAAGGTCACCGCTAGAGCGGCGGCGGATATATTGCACCCGGGCACCCGCGGGTCGTCAAAAAGTTCCACCTTTGCTTAGCCGACTTTGTCTCATGTCACATTTCGTTATTTTCATTTTTAACCCTCGCCCGTTTTGGTGTTTTGCCAGCCGCGAACGTATAAGACGGGGGGGGGGGGAGGTGGGGGGGGGGGAGGTCCGTTGGATCCCCTTGCCGTTTCGCCCCTGATCGAGCTAGAGCTTCGCGGAAAAAAACGAGCGTGTTGCCCGTGACGAGAGGAAGCCGATGATACCAAATTTTAAGGTCCTAGGTCATTGGTTGATTTTCCAGGTCAGGTCAATGGCCTTGAAGTTGGGAAAATCGGGACCTGTTAGAATGTCGTAAAGTGTGGCTGCTATGGAGTTTTTGGGGATGCTGATCACGAATATTATGTTAGTTTTGATCACACATGATGTCTTCATGCATTTAGGCCAGGTCAGGTCAGGTCAACCAGTAGGGGTCCTGCTGGGTATTCGTAGTTCCTAGGTGTCAACCGCCTCTGACAGCTTTGTCACATGTTACGAAGGCACCAAATCTTCTTCGTTAATGTTCAAATGGCTGCTAAATTCGAATTCAGCTCCAAAAATTAGCCTAGAAACATGTAAACTCGAAAAAGTGAACCGAGGTCATTTAAGGTCAAGGATCTGACCTGACCTTCAGGTGACCTTGACACCCACCGTAATGCATGGGAGCAACATCATGTCACATGTTTGAACGCTTGAAACCACGAAAAGACTGCGAACGCGCAGCTAATACGAGCTGACATACGCCGAATCGCGATTCCGGCCAAACATGGTCTCGGAAAGTAGGTCTCAGAGTCAGTTCAAAGATCATTTGGGTCAGGGTCATAAATTTTTTAGGGTAGGTGTTAATTGATAAACGCGAGGTTACTGAAAGTTTCGTCGCGATCGGCCGCTTTCTACGCGAGTTATTCGCGAAAGACCGAGGGGTGGGGGGGGGGGTCCGTTCGACCCCCCCCCCCCCCCCGGGCCTATACGGGTGAGGTTTAAGACGCAATCCTTATACGGCTTCGGGGCTTTCCATGTCACTTTTCGTCTTTGACACTCAAATTTACGATAAATTCAGCATGTCGCTTCCACTATGTTTATGCCTCCTGGACCTGACTCGCCCCTCCACCCTCACCCCCAGACACCTATACATGGAGGTCAGTAAGACCATCTGCCCGGTACAGGACTACGTGCACGCCGAGGCGGCCGACGCGGCCACCACAGAGAACCTGTACCTGGAGGTGGCCACTGCCAGCGCGCGAGACGTCGGCTTCAGCCTGGTGCTGCGCCAGGAGCGGGTCTCCATGGGGTGAGTGTGCCATGGGACGGGAGAGGAGCAATGAGAGGCCGGGAGGCTTGCCATGGGAGGCCGGGAAAGGAGTCATTGGGGGCTTTGCCATTCATGGCTCGACCGTATCATAGAAGGCAGCGGGAGACGAGTCATGGGAGGCTGGGAGACAAGCCGTCCACGGGAGGCCGGGAGACGTGTTACGGGTGACCAGAGTATTGTTGCATGGAGCTTGTGCCGACCTACTTGTCTTGATTTGGTCCTACATCTTGCGCTTACATCTTGATTTGGAATTGCTTTCTTTCCACCCAGAATTCCCAATGGTTAGTTTTGATGGCCGATCATTCTTCTGCCTCCCTATAGCCTGCCGTCTCCCGTTCGTGACCCGAATGGGGTGCCGACAGTCGGCTGAATGGCACGGCATTATGCCGTCTGGCTGGGTGAGGGTGTGTGGGCGGGGATTTGAGCCGCGCCATAGCCGTCGGCTGCTGCTTTGTCATTGACTCTTGGTGGAGTGAAATCTTAGAAGGACGCCTGTAATGACTCATAGTAAGTGCCACGCAGAAAATACCCAACGACCCCGCTGCCCAACATGAACGTCGTGGAGACTCAGAGCGAAATATGGCCGGAACGAACACGCCACATGTTTCTTTAGTACACTAGTACTTGAAAGCCGAGTATGGGAGCGGGAGTAGCAGGATAGGCAGCAGATAATCATGACGTAATTATTTGTTATTTGATAGGACATAAGTATATCTGGTCGTCTAATCTCGGTAATGCATATCCCATGCAGCATTGATGGCACAGATCCGTATACCGGCTGGTAACTATGAGACACGACATTTCCACTCCGGTCTGTTGTTCCCAGGAGGCGCTAGTCTTGGTTAGAGATTTCCTGGAACCGCCTGAGTGGTAGTTTCCCGAGGCTTTGTCCCGGCGATTTGTTCGTTCAGTGTTCCAAGAACATTGTATTCCTGTCTGTGGCAGAATCGTCAGACGTGATCAGTCCACAGCAACCCCGAAATAGATGTTTGGAGTCCAAATATTCATGGACGGATCGGGTGTGTAATATTTTGAAGCCTGTTTGATGGCGAAAATCTTTGCTTAGCTCCCTTGGTTTATATCAACCTGCATAACCGATCAGGTATGTAATTCACTGGCGGTGCTAGTCCATGGCCTTAGAACAGCTGCCATGCTTGTAACTCATACGATATACCTTATCAATGCTCATACCTATCCTGCATTTGTATTTGCTCAGGCATTACAGCCAGCCAAAATATCACGATAAACATCTACTGATAACGGATAAAGTGCACGGCCTCTACCACTGATAACGTATAAAGTGCGCCGTGGCCCTCCGCCCAGGCCCCAGCCGTGTTGCCGGCTCCGGCTGCGCCGAGCGTGTATCTAGCTGCGAGCGTTCGGCGGTAACTTAGCGGTTACACTGACATCGAGTGTACATTCGGTTATTTTGCCGACGATCAGCCGCTGCTTTTTCCATGCTGTGACCATGTGGCTCGAGAATATCGGAAGTCTTTTTATGGGCAGACCGTCTTTGGAGTGGTCTCAACCGGCGTGGATGTTGACTAGAATGGGGTCTAAATGCGGCGGAATTGGACTCCAACTGTCTTTTTTCGTTCTTATTTGTTTGGTTTATGGAATATGACACAACTTCGGTAGATCTCCAGTCCTTCTGTTTATATTTGCAATCCACAGCAGACCTCCTGAGCTACGTTAACAATGTCAATAACCAGACGCTTGTCATATCTTCTGATAACAGTCGATTTATGTTTGTGTTTTGAGATTGAAACCAGATTGTTCCTTCACCCCTACACTCGCTCTGAAGTACACCCCTCCCGTCTGGTGCTCGTGTCCTGAGTGCCCGGCCGGCCGGTGGCTCGCGCTGCGTTTGTTGCCGATGCCCCGCTCGGCTGTATTTGTCCGCCCATCGAGCGGTGGCGCCGGCCGCCGCGGTCGGCCGCTGCTGCTGTGGCGTCAGCCTCTGTCAGCCGGCGCTCAGGGATCGATATACGAGGGCCGTTCACTGCCCAACTCACCAAGTAGCGGGGGGGTAGGGGGGGGGGGCTGGGGAGAAGATGAGGGTGGGCTGTGCGGGGCAGAGGAGGGAGGGGTGGCGGCGCTGGTAGCGCAACTGGTGGGTGTGTAGGGGTTTCGGGGAGGGTACAGGGCGAGAGCTGAGTGTGAGTCGCCTCCGTCTCCCTCCGGCCCTCTCTCCCTTCCTCCGCTGCTCTCACCGACCTGTTGACTGTCGCCTCAGCAAGTCGGTCCGTATGATGACGCCCTCTCGCTCTCCCAGAGGCTAGAATAATGGTCAGATACGCATATAATACAGAGGTAAAAATTGCTGGGTTGCAAAGGAATCCGTGTAATTGTCCTTAGAGGACTAGGCAGTGGAAAGAACGGACCTTAGGACAGGACAGGGAGTTAGATTTATTTGACGGGGACTCGGAGTTAAATAGAGACCACAAAAAAAACAGTGATGTGAGGTAGATCATGGTCGTGCTGGTCGCACACATACGCAGTACAGAGTCACAGACGGAGACGGCTCCAGCCCGCCGCTCACAATACTACCGCGACCGCCAGCCCTCTACTGCTATCTTTGCTGCAGCTGTGTCAGAGCCAGAGGTCAATGGTTGGAAATATAAACATCGCACAGATCAGCTCAGAATCAGAGGGAGTTATATAAAGCTCGCTTTGGTTAAATTAAACGCGATGTGATGTGATAAGATGCCACCACAAATCCAAACACGAGTGGTTGCGCGTTGCATGAATCGGAAGCGTGACTTATACTTTGTCCCGTTGTATATGGGACAAATATAACTCTAATGTAATCTTCGCTCCACTCCCCGTAACCAAGCCCTAAAACCGACCCCGTTCCATCTTCCCCAAACGTCCTATACATGTATAATGACGAAACTCTTTAACTCCACCCTCAGATTGGAGAACTCGACCGAGTTCCAGGTGACCCCTTCAGCTCCCCGCCTGGCGCGGTTTACGTTCCCGCCCGGTGTGAGCACCGCCCTGGTGCGGGCCACCTCTCCGGATGACATCTGTGCCACTGTCAGCATTCAAAACGTCTCGGTGAGTGAGAGGGCATGCATGTGTGTCGTGTGTAGGTGCGGGGGAGGGAGGAAGGGGGGGGGGAGGAGGGTTGATCGAGTACTTGATATGAAGGGAATGCGGGATATGTTGTTTTGATTGGGTGTGCTTCTGTTTGCTTGCTTATTTAGACAGGTGGTCGATATTACCCTCGTGAATGTAAATTATGAAAGGGTTTTTATTGGTTATCGATTGTTGTATCAAGTGTCCTTTCTCTACTATTGGGGGCGTTGACGGATGCTCGACGCTGTCCGACTGTCGCTATTTCACTGTCCGATATCGAACGTTTTGCACTGTTCCCCACTATATGAAATGCTGATCGCTGTGCTTTAGTGTCCGATATTGACAGGACGACGCTATGTACCATTTTCTGACGTTGAATGCCTTTCGCCATTTTGCAGTGTCCGATATTTGACACCCAGCGGGACGTCGTGTACGGTAACCAGTACCAGACGATGACGCTGAAGGCGGGCATCACAGTCCGGGTGAGTTCACAGCCCGTCACACCGTGCTCTTTCAGCTGGCAAGCGAGATAGTATAGCCAAACACGCACTATAACTCGCCCTCTCCGGCTAATACCGATTACAATGTCTAATCGTCACACTGCGTGTGATCCTTAGCTTCCTATCCTATCATCCCCAGAATCCAGTCCTCTATCTTTCAGCGTTCCCCAAGATGATGCTGGCGGCGGGCTGGCTGCGGAGGCGTGCGCCGGCTGGCCCACGCGCCGGTCTGGAGACGGCCATTAACTAGTCCGATATTGAGGGGTGAGCGCGGCGCCCGCCCGGCTGTCGCTGCCGCTGCCGCTGGCGCTGGCGGGTGATCGGCTGCTGCAGCTGCCGCCGCTGCCGCCGGGGACCCGCCTGTTCGGTCCTTCCGCTTTAACTCTACTTTCAAACGCTCTTTTTTGTCATTATGTTCCATTCACTGCTATTTCGTTTTCATTGTGAGCTGCTTTTGTTTTTGCGTTCCGCGTATTTCGTTTTGTTGCGGTCACGTGTAAAAAATAAAAAAAAGATATGACTGGAAAAAAAGAAGATTACAATGTCTAGTCACTCTGGCGTTGACTAGGAAGCTAAGCATTCAATAATTGTGTAGTTTTACCCTTGCTTCACTTATCGGTTTTCAGTTCCATGTTCGTTTGTCAAAGATGATTTACCGATCTGCATATCTTATAAATCTCCTAGCTGCATGTCATCAAATTAATATTTCCACCGTACACATTCTAAGTCACAACGTCCCAAAACTACCTAGATATTTATATATTTTGGCCTATTTATATTTATTCATATATTCATATATTATTTTGGTATATTTTGACTTGGGTGTCGGAGGGGGATATTGCTCACCGCGAAGAGGGCTGAGAGTGTAACATTGCGAGTCAGAAAGGCACGAAAAGTAGCGGAAAACAGGGATCATTGATATTAAGTGAGTGTTCGAGTACGTGGGGGCTGATTTATAAGATAATTGAAGGAAGTATAGAGGTAGTTAAAACCAGCCAGTAAATGTAAGTGCAGATGCTCTTTATTGGTAAAACTAGGAGTGAAATATTGCTCTGGAATATTGGAGGTGAGAGTGAAAAATAATATCCACTTGGATGTCATTTCCCACCCAAACTAGCAAATTTTGGGACACTGCTAAGTCAACTGTAAGTATCAAACTGTCAACACCGTACCGTCAATATCGTCAGTAGAAGACTGCCAACACCAAGCTGTCAATACCGAACCATGAATATCAAATTGTCAACACCAAGCTGTCAACATCCATCTGAATTCACTGTCCATTTTCTGTCTGCAGCGGGAGAACTTTCCGAACGGCATGTTCATCGTGCTGGTGGTACACGGGGACGACACGCAGTGCAGTCGCAGCTACCAGCACATCGGCGCCGACCGCAGGAAGACTGTTCAGCTGCTCGTGCAGGTAGGTGGGGGCACTAGCCTGTGGTATATGCGAGTTCGGCGATTAAGAGTTGGGCAAGTTTATGGCGGGCTAGAACACAAAAGCCAGGTGTATCCCCTGGTATATCAGGTAAATGGCCGTGAAGCCATCATTGCGAAAGCATTGTCAATATTGTGCTAGTTTGTGTGATACTGTCCCCCACCGTTTCTCAACTGTCCCCTGTCCCCAACGACTACCTGTTGCTCTGCCTCCTGCCCCTTCCCATGTCTAACCTCGGTACCCCCTCCCGTCCCCCAGGAGAAGATATCGCCCGTGGACTACCTGACAGCCACGGTGGGCGCGCTCTGCTTCTGTGGCCTCTTCTACCTGCTCTCCATCGTGCTCAGCGTGGTCCACTTCGTCAGGTCGGTGTCCGCTCCCGCCTCTCTCTCTCTCTCTCTCTCTCTCTCTCTCTCTCTCTCTCTCTCTCTCTCTCTCTCTCTCTCTCTCTCTCTCTCTTTCTCTCTTTGTCTCTCTCTCTCTCTCTCTCTCTCTCTCTTTCTCTCTCTCTCTCTCTCTCTCTCTCTCTCTCTCTCTCACCCCGTCACTCTATCTCACTCTCACCCCGTCACCTCGTCACTCAAGAGGCTCTCTCGACCGCTCTGCCTCCCTGCGACCTCACTCGGGACCCCTCCTGGAGCAGAGGAGTATCCCCACAGAGAGCCAGCCGCCCGCCGTCCCCGTCGATAGGCCCGTATAACTAGGTTTGTTATCGGGCCAGGTCCGGCCGCGCCGGGTCGATGGAGAGACTGGAGACTGGAGAGGACGCGTCGCTGTGATCATGGACAGTGTGTCTGGCGTTGTCTGTGTGTTTTTGTTGAGAGGACCAAATGGTAGTTTTTATGGTCCAGTATGGTATTACATTCTTGTTTTGCCTTTGCCTTAACCACCTTCTTAATTTTTATGTACAGTCCACCGCTAAAGTAATGTGTGGTTTTACCAATCTGAACGGATGGCTTTGACTGGCGATTTCTTAAAGCGGAGTTACTGAAAAGAAGACGCCAATAGATAAAGTTGCAGCTGCAAGGGTGACGATACATGTAAGCTACATTCAAAGTTTCATTGTAGTCTGGCTAATTGTTCCTAAGCTTCATAAGCAAAACATACCCATGACTGAAACCGCACATTACTTCTGCTGTGGACTGTACCATGGATTGCGCTAGAGAGCTAGGTAACTATAGAGAGCTAGCTAGAGAGCTAACATTTCCGCATATTTCTGGAATCTGTACCCTGCATTTTCTCATTTCTGTCGCTCCGGGGTTATCTCACGACGCCAGCCTTTGACGTCCGGATTTCGCCATCGGATGTCGCCCACTCAGAATGCGGGTCGTCCCCTCCCCCCCCCCCCAGCAGCCCCCCCCCCCCCCAGCAGCCCCCGGGCGGGGCCTGATATCACCCAGACCGTATGGTGGTCGGGTAATGCCTCTCACGGCACTGGGGGGGGGGGGAGGGGGGGGGGGGGTCGGCGCGTGCCGTTGCTATGGATACGAGCAGGCGGCGGCCGCTTTGGTCGTATAGAAAGGCTGGGTGGTTTGAGAGATCGGGCGCTGGAACTTGGGAGTCAGTGAATGAGTGGTGGAGTGGTTCCGGCATGAATTGCATCAGACCCAATTAAAAAATATTTGATTACCTTTACCGAACTCTAAGTCTGGTTAGTCTCTCTCTTGCTAAAACACACACACACACACACACAATCACACACACAAACAACACACTCGCTGTGTGCTACAACTGACATAAATCTAGCTGCCGATCAGCGGAGTGGAAATCTCCATCAATGCTGTGCCGGCTGTGTTTTGCCTGAAGCTATCCCTGCCAGCCAGCCTACGAGGGCAGTCGTGACGTTGAAACAGGACGCAGGAGAGATAATATGTGCGTGGACTGTGAAGTAACAGGACAGTGTTGTTATGCTGGTTAAGATAAGTGAAGGACCCGCGGTTCATCGCCCTGTAGAGCTTATCGCAGTGCCAGCTTATGATAAATGGGAGAGGGTGTAGTGTTATACCCTGTATTCTGTACTTACTTCGCAGGTCAAGCTAGCCAGCGATACTAGCTAATAGGAAACACGCGTTAGTTTGAGCCAATTAAAACAAAAGCTGGACTGAGTACAATGCTAAGTGAAGGGTAGTTTGAATTTTCACGACAGACGGGTCCATTCGAATGTTGGGCCGCAGTCCTACCCTTATCCGTCTTCCGCCAGCGTCATATGGAGCTTATAGGAAAGGTGTTTGATTCCTTCCGGGTTCTATGGTGACCGAACATGCCTATCCTATCACACATCAGGAGAGCCAGCTTCACCCTCCTGGTCGGTAGAGGACCGCTCGGTGCGTGCAGGCGGCACCTGAAGGGTTTCCCGCCGTGCTGAAACGATGTCGTGACGGTAGACATTTCACAATCCTTTCCGTCCTCCAATCAACCGAGGTGATGCAATGTCCGTGCACCAGAACTGTCTTGTTGACGGAGTTCATCCGCTCTGCTGTGGCGGGAGTGCTCAGTGGCAGTGCGTGTCCGAGTGTGTGGTGTTAGCGATAACGACACTGTGCAGAGTTGCATTGAATGAAACCAGATGATGCTGGGGGCGGGATTTGACGAAACTCGGTAGCAACGAATAACGATACTAGGAGATGAGAAGAGAGCAAAACTAGTGAGCGAACTTACAGTTGGCTTTGAACGAAACGTTCAGCCAAATCTGTTGGCCATCGGGCATCGTTTGTATACACTATACGAGTACATAGACTAGGCAGAAGGACGAACTAAAATGTTGACCACATCCATGTCGACTGATTTGGAAAAGATTGCTGATTACACTGATAGCTGATTGGGACCCTGGTTTGACAGCGATGTACCGCAGTGATACCAACATTGCTTCTGCGGTTGTCCATATTCTTTGACATTCTTTCTTCTACCCGCCATTGCCTCAGATGATTCTGACAGGACGTGCTTCTGTTTTGTTTCACAGACAGCGTCGGCAGCGGCAGCAGCTCCCGGACGACACGCCGCCGCCAGTGGCCAACTATGGGGCCATCTCTGCCGGCAGCTCCAGTACGATCATTGGTCTGTAGGATAGTGAAATATGTACCTCAGAGGGCAGCTCCAGTACGATTATTGGTCTGCAGGAGAGTGAAATACATAGCCACAGGGGGCAGCTCCAGACGTACGATCATTGGTCTGTAGGACAGTGAAATACAGTACATATCTATAGTACAGCTCAGAGGGCGGGATACAGGGCAGCTCCAGTGCGATTATTGGTCTGTAGGACAGTGAAATATGTACCTCAGGGGGCAGCTCCAGTACGATCATTGGTCTGTAGGGCAGTGAACTACACATACGTCAGAGAAAGGGATATGGAGCCAGCGCCAGTTCCTACATCTATCTATTGGCCATGTATCGGCGACCCCGGTTCAGATAAAATAAACATTGAAGCTTACTCCCAATGGTCAAATTCATAATGCACATGTACAATTTTACTCTTCCCATTTTTCCTCCCACCGATTTCCTGATTGTAACACCTCCTCTCCACTGCCTACCCTCACAGGCAGTGACGCCGTACCGGGCGACACGGGCGCGCGGCTCAGGGACACCCTGTCGGGAGCCGGACCGGCATCGACGCCCAGCTCGGGTTCCGGGCGACAGGGCAGTCTGCAGCGGGCCGACTCCGACTCGTCCCTCTCGGAGACGGAGGTCGATATGCTGCCGGAGACCGACCAGGATAAGAACCTGTTCAGGTGAGGAGTGGGTGTGTGGGAAGGGGTGCTGGGTTGTGGTGGGAGAGATATTAAGATGAAATGATGTGTGGGGATGGTCGGATGAGGAGACAGTGCGTGGACGATAGAAGCGGATGGGAAGGAAAAAGTTGGGTACTCAAGGGCAGGTGGGTCTGATAACGTGAGGGTAGTGATGCGTGTTTGGTGTAGACTTAAAGTGTTCAGTCATGCTTGTGTATTACTATTGAACTCAGTCATGAGTTGGCCTTTTAATGTGACGACGAACATTGACATCATACATTTTAATGAATGCTTATGATAACTAGTCAGGGGTGATTACCAATTTTTCTGCCCGCCTCTGCTCCGAGCCGTTCAGTTTCGCCCTCCAGGCCTGGTCTTTCTTTAGTCTTGTGTAAAGTAATCATTGGGTAAGGCAAACCCTGCATACGGCTGCGTCCATCCAGTACGTCCCATTTTCACCGTATACTCGGGGCGCTGTGGCGCGTTTCAGCCGTGTTCGTTCGGCACACCAGAGTCGTGACAGACTGATCAGCAGCGACGAGTGCTCTGCTGACGAGCGGCACAGCACTCTGAGGCTCGACGAGCTGTACAGGGAAGCGTGCGTCAGGTACCGATGCACTGGGCCTACCCCTGCTGTCAGGCAGCGGGGCTGTGAGTGGGTTTGCCTATGGATGCGGTGCTGGTTTTATGAGGTTGAAACAGCGGCTGAAGAGAGGGGTGTGGGTTTGGTGTGATGTGCAGACCACAGCAGCCTGATGGGTTGCTGTGGTCCAGGGCTTAGGGTCGGCTGGGATATTCCGGTGCACCGACGATTACGACATAGGCAGCTCGCATGTGTTTGCGAGAAGTGTGGGCAGCTCACGAACTGTGCTGGTGCTTTTGGGTCATAGCGCTCCATGCGTTAATGCCAGGGACGTTGAGCCTTAGGGAACTAACGGAGCGCCAGGCTGCTACTGCGATTGCGCAGCTGAGGGTATGGCCAAGTTCGGGGCCAGGCTCACTAGCGCTGGGAGGGACTGATGCGCTGCTTCGGGACCTGTCGCTTTGTGTTCGACTGGGTCGACCGTTGGGACGCCGACGACAAGATGAAGTCAAAACAGGGCCAGCATCAGAAACAGCTGCTGAGTCGATCTTTGAAGCGGTGGCGAAAACCTGATCCTGCTGGAATATGGTGGGCTTCCTTGCGGCTTGTATGCATTGATTGTCAGTGCTAGAAATGGAAAAGCCGAAATGTAAAAGTGGAACCAGTCAAAGAGAACTCGAAGCAAAATTGCGCCTAAGCCAAGCATAAGTCCTACAAGCTATCCGTTCTTGACAGATCGACAGCTTTGCTGAGCCCAAGAAGAGTTGTTTTTCAGTGTTTGATGTGTCAAAGTCGATCAAAGGAAGATAAATGCAGCAATAGTGATTTGATAGCTAGTTGCCTGGGTACACATCTGAACCAGTGTGGCTAGTTGATGCACGTACGGCTAGAAAAGATTGGAGTGTCGGTTAATATATTCTGTGTTGTTTCTAATGGTGCTCCGACACTCTACTGGCCGCTGTCTTGATCAATTTTTTATGGGTAATCCCTTTATTTTCATGATTTCGTAACAGCTGGGAACACTGCATTTGAAAACTGGGTTTTGTGTGGTTTGCGGCGAGTTATATTGTGATGCATGAACGAGTGAATAACGGGGTGGAGGCAGCAGGCGTCTTTTTACGCTGATCGCATGGTTTTGGGACTTCTCTGTCGGGTCAGGATTTTTACTTAGCTATATGCCTCAACAGTGGATGTTTCAATAACCTACATAATAACACGATAGAATATGCCTCACTCTGATGCAACTCCATCCAACTGGACCTGATCTGGCAGGTGACATGATCACAGCTCGATACATTGGCAAGCATCGTATGTCCCCTGTCGGAGTCTCAGTCTTGGCCCCCTGTAGATGCGGTATGGATGCACAGTCATCGCTACCTGCATAAGCTGGCTGAGATTGTACACTGACCGGACCTGACCTGACCTCTCCTGCAGGACGAAGACGTTTCTCTTCGTGTCCGACCTGGCGCGGAAGAACCCTCGCGTGCTGGCCAAAAAGTCGCAGCTCTACATCTACAATCTGATTACGATCGCCGTCTTCTACGCGGTGCCCGTGGTGCAGCTGGTGATCACCTATCAAAAGGTATATGTGGCTAGGATCGCTGGCAAATGACAGTTGTTGTTTTACATTTCATCGAAGCACTTCCTATTTGAATAGAAACGGTGGGCAACTTATAAATATAATGACGCAACTAACTTCCGCCTGATATGTAGATTTACTAAAAGATAATGATTCCCGGGATCACATTCCTTTTAGATTGTTCCAGCATATGCTTTATCACAGTGTTTACCGCTACCTCTCCTTTACGCCCACCCCACACTCCCCTGACGACCTCTCTCACCGCGGCAGGTACTGAACGTGACCGGCGACCAGGACATCTGCTACTACAACTTCCTGTGCGCCCACCCGCTGGGCGTGCTGTCCGACTTCAACCACGTCTACTCCAACGTGGGCTACGTGCTGCTGGGACTGCTGTTCATAGGACTGGTGAAGCGCAGGGATCTGATGCATCAAGAGCACGTGCGCGCCAACGACCGATATGAACAGGTAGGTGCGCGCGCGCGCGCCAATGTCGATAGTCGCCGTGACTGTGACGGCTGAGAGGGACGTACGTGTAGAACTGGATGGAAGGTGATGGTTGACAGATTCGGGGCGATGGTTGCGAGTATTAGTAAATAGATTACATCGCTCACTGAATATGGAGGATGGCTTAAATGATGGCCCTTTTGGTTTGAGCTCGGTATTGCACCCTGCCGCGTCCCTCCCATCCCACCGCCGACCATTGACTCGACTGACCACCACTCTCGTCTGTGCGCCGCCAGTATTACGGCATCCCGCGCCACTTTGGCCTGTTTTACGCCATGGGCGCCGCGCTGATGATGGAGGGCATCCTGAGCGCCTGCTATCACGTCTGTCCCAGCTACTCCAACTTCCAGTTCGGTGAGCTCACTAGTCACTACCACCCACCCCTGACTAACGCCCTTTGCCCTGTTTCGGCTCTACATGATTACAATCCTTTTATTCAACGATTCACGCTGATCCACGCACGACATTTTTTTTTTTTTTTTGCTCAGTGAAGATCGAGAGCTTGATTACTTAGATGAAATTTTTATTAAAAATATATTTTTCATCTTTACATTATCGCGACGATAGCATAACTTGAATGCTGAATAAACGGTCCCGAATCCACTCCCCACAGTAGTGCTCTGGTTAACTGACGTCTTCCCCATTGATTGCCTCTCTCTCTCTGTTCACAGACACGGCGTTCATGTACGTGATCGCGGTGCTGTGCATGCTGAAAATCTACCAGACGCGCCACCCGGACATCAACGCCAGCGCCTACGTCACCTTCCTCGTGCTCTCGTTCGTCGTGTTCGTGGGCGTCATCGGCGTGCTCGAGGGCACGGTCTACTTCTGGTTCGGCTTCATCGCGCTCCATATGGGCGCCTGTCTGGTGCTCGGCGCCCAGATCTACTACATGGGACGCTGGTCCATCGGTGAGTGGTCGGAAAACGGAAAGGACCCCTTCCCAGGCTTTGAGGTAAAAATGAATGAATCAAAACGAAGTGGGTAGTAGTCAGTTACAGCTGTATCAATGTTAACAGGCGTGCACTCGAAATTACCTGACTTAATCGCTCGTAATTTACTGACTTTGGTATCTTACTCTCTCATAAACTTCCTTCCCCTTCAACCACTTACAGCCCGACGCGCTCACCCACTAACCTCCCCGCCCTCCCCAGATTCGGGCGTATTCCTACGGATCTACCAGAGTATCCGCGCCGACCTGGCCACGTCCCCCACCCACTGTTTCCGGCCGGCCTACCCGGACCGGATGGCCCTGCTCGTCATGGCTGGACTGGTAAACATTGGCCTGGCCGTGTTCGGAGGCATCACGGTGCCCAAGGACTTCGCCTCCTACCTGGTGACCATCTTTATTACCAACCTGCTGCTCTACACGACTTTCTACATCATCATGAAGGTAAGGAAGGGAGAGGGGTGGGGAATGTAGAAGGAGGAAGAGAGAGAGGGGGGTAGAGGGAGAGGATTTGTGTGTTTGTGGTTAGTTTGATTTGGTGGAGGCCCGGGCATTCTCTGATCATATATATTTGCGGATAGTTCATTGTGTAATTTGTGTAACAATTTGGGCACATATTCCGTGGCTGTAACGGACCAAACTGGGTCATGGACCCGTGCAATATTTGTATTTATGTTGAAGAGGCCGTTTGAACACCGCAGCCCCTATTTTACATATGTAACGACACAGCAGGCCAGACAGTTTGGTAGATTTCTACGAACACCATATTCAAAATGGTTACAATATGGTTTCAATATGCGTTCCCCGATGTAAGTTCCTCCTTTGTAACTTACACAATAATCTGTTTGGCTAAGTGTATGTGAAACTCCCAGTCACCATTCCAGTTATTCCCACATATCTATTTCCACCGCTAACCGGTCCAACCCCTGCCCGCAGCTGCGGAGCGGCGAGCAGGTGCTGCTGCAGCCGTTCCTCTACATCGTGCTGTCGTGCATCTCCTGGGGCGCGGCTCTCTACTTCTTCCTGCAGAAATCCACCACTTGGCAGGTACGACGGGGTGCCGGGGATGCGCGCGAGGTATGACGGTGGTCGGTAGGTGGGGCTGCATGGGGTAGTCATGGAATTACGCTGTGGTCTAGGCTAGCAATTGGGTTACCTGCCAGGCTTTGGGAACGAGCTGTTTGTAAAAAAAAAAAAATGTGCTGTTTGATAGGAATGCCTAGCATCATTTGTGTGGTGTTCGTGTCCATGTTGTAAATGTAGGTTGTAAATGCCGCGACTTGCAGCTTTGTGGTTGAATCGCAAATTGTGTGGTTTATCTGGGTAGGAGTGGATCACTGCAGAATGCAGATACAGCCCAGGTTGTTGGTGCAGTGTCTGGGCCAGAGTCAATTGAGTCACTCCGCGACTCTTCGTTTCCTTCATCTTGTACCAGCTACGTTACGGCACTGGTACTCAAGTCGCACCCTGTCTCTCACCACATTCTGTCGTCGCTCTCACTCTCACCTCTCTGTCCGGGCTCGGTCCGCTCTGCCCCAGGAGGGTCTGGTCTCGCCGTGGCGACCGCACCCCACCGCCGTTCACAGCCTGGCCACAGCCAGCGACTGGGTAACTGACACCGGTCCCATTGTCCCTGGCCCTAACTTTGGGCCGGGCACACTCATGGGTGGCGCGTGGGAGGTGGAATTTGAATGTGTGAAGGGCCGCTGTTTGTAAGATGTTTGATCGGTTTGGTCAGCTGCTGGAGGATTATAAATATGCGAGAAGCGCTAGGGTTTGGCCATGTTTGGGGTCACATTGTTTGCTGTGGTCGTTGACCGGTGAGTTTTGATGGCGGCATGTGTCTGGGTTCGGTTGTGAGATGTGTGATGGTCATTGAGAATGGATTGATGAGATGGGACCGTAACACATTGGATGATGATAAGCTTACAAGATCACATAATTATATTCACCGTTATTCAAACACCTTCATTTCATATTCGTTCACTTGCGTTTCTGTCTCAGCTTATCGACGAGTTGTTCAATATTCAGTGGGTTTTCCCTTCTGGGACTTGCCATTATGACACTTTTGGACAATTTATTTCGCATTTTGTTGGACCGGTAATATGGCTTAGCACTTATATATTCTTTCGTTTGGTTTATGACTTGTTCGTTACTCAGTTGTTTCAACTTTGCGATCAGCTAGTTTTTATTAGTGACACAGGCATTCTATCATCCCCTTCGTACTTTCTTGCTATTTCTAGGCAGTCGTGCGTGCTCTTCACTGACCCCGACTCCCTGTCAGACCCCAATACCCGCGGGCTGCCCTTTACTCAGTGTCAGAGCATCTCCCTGCGCCCTCTGCTATCTCTTCAACATCAATACACACCACACACGAGACTGACCCCCTTATCTGACGTCCCTCTCCCCTCCCCCCTCGCTCACCCCCCTCAGCTGAGTCCGGCGCAGTCGCGCACCAAGAACCGGGACTGCGAGATCCTCAGCTTCTACGACGACCACGACATCTGGCACTTCCTCTCGGCCTCCAGCATGTTCTTCGGATTCATGGTGGGTCTGGGTGTACCCTTCAGGGGATGGAGGGGGGACAGATGGAGTAGATTTGGGCACAGACCTCTGTAGTGCGGACGTCAGATGTCTGATTTTAGATACGCTCCATTCGGTAGTTACGTATTCAATGAGGTAACAAGCGATAATCTTAACTGATTCGTGAATTGCATTCCAGGAAATGTGATATGGATTTAATTTAGTGTTTGGTCATAAAGTATCAGATCGTGATTCGTGATTATTTTGCAGCGGTGTTTAGGTCGTGATTAAATGAGTCATTTTGCTCGTTAACACATACTGAGGGCTGGTTGTGGTTAGTTATGACAACTGCCATATTTGTTGGAAGGATTGTTGTTTTGAATTTTTTTCGCCTTTTTACCACATTGAGCAGAGAGCGTGTTCCTTTTACTTACCGCTTCATAAAATAAGGCTAAATGCGCGTTTTGCTTTGTTGGCAGATTCTGCTGACATTGGACGACGATCTGGTTTTCACTCGCCGAGACAAGATTCCCGTGTTCTGAAGCGGGCTCAACACCAGTTGGTCTTCGAGCCTGCTGTGGTTCACATACAACGGAGCGAGACTAGGCCGTTCATCGGAGCGATTTGGGCGAAACTTAGCGTCGTCAGCTTCGGCGTATTATCAACTGCTCTCTCCGCGTGGTCGTTTGTGTAGCGAAGAAGAGTTACCAAGGTCGGTATCGTGTACCCACTGGAGAAAGCTCGGCATTCTGGGATGGATGACGCGCTCTCACAGAGCGTCAGATGTATCACGAAGGCCAGTCAAAGCAGGGTTACTGTGTCCCGGCGCGGCGTTGGCAATGATGGCGGCTGGTCGACATTGCCTGCTCGTAGTGGGTGATTCCACCGCGGTCGCTGCGCCCAAACGAGGCTGTCGATGTTGGGACGAACACCACCCGGGAGCGGGACTGCAAAGTGCAATGGGCGGTGAGCGACTAACGATAGCCACGAGTCTAGCTGCGACAGATACCACGGGTCAGAAAATACGAGGGATAGATAACAAAAGGTCCAGCAATGTTCCGCCGACGAGCGTTTGGAATCGGAGCATAGACAGCACGAGCGAGGGGCACAGGCTATTTACGCGATTAACATAGGCAACCGCAGCCGACATTGAAGTCACGCGATACATCGCTTGGTCAGCGGAGGCACTGCTGACCTGAAGTCACTGCTGACCTGGTGTCACTGCTGACCTGGGGTCACTGCTGACCTGGGGTCACTGCTGACCTGGGGTCCGGAATGCGGCGCGGCGAACGGCTGTTTCACTGGTCCGTATTGATGTTGTATCCCCTATGCAGTATTTGTGAGGACCTGGGGCGGCGCGTCCGCCGGAAGTTCTCACCTACCGTTTGGACCAGCTGGTTGCCTGAATCTATTTTCATCGCCTATGCTGATACCCTTTTGTACGCGTCGGCTTTCTATCTGGTTCCAATTCTGGTTGGGACGGTATTTTTCATATCACCTAGCTGGTACTAGTCCAGTTGTATTGATCAGAGGGCAATATAGGGAGGTGACTTTCCAAAGACATCGGGTAGGCTTACATTATTACATTATATAGTTATTATTTATAGCTAACCATAATTATAGCATTATCCATAAAATGCGCCGATATTTATTGCAAAGAATGGCTGCACGCGTTATTCCACTTAAATATACATGTAGCAATTTTACCGTGAACGCTTCTCCACACCACTATGTATTACCTAATCAATGTGTAAGTCGACCTGTACGTTATGATATCGGTGCCACACAGCGGCACTCACGAATAATCGCTAAATGTACGGAACGATCATACAATGCACGCGTCGCGCAGCCAAGTTATATTGATCCGAAATCTTATTAGTCAGTAATCGCGTGTGCGTTCTTCGATAGTGATTATAGTAGTTGTGCGTTCTTCGATAGTGATTATAGTAGTTGCAAAGAAAGATCGTTACTATAAGGGAAGTTGTTTTATGGATGTAGGCAGTCAGTTGGTGTTTTTCGGTTGATTCCCGTTCCTTGGATCGTGTAAGATGTTGATGGCGACAGGAAATTCTCGGCGTTGTCTGACAATGGTAGCTCGACTCGGACCGACGCACTCGAGTGACTCGAGTGACTCACTCGGACCGACGTACTCGGTCCTCGGTACGACACACTGACTAGTTATTTAGAGATGACGAGTGCGACCTTCTAGACGCCCAAAGTTCGCCCACCTCTCGACTCGACTCGACAACGAGCGCACCGACCCTTTTCCTGACTCGTATGGTCCGACCTCTATGACCGAACGCCTCCTGGTTTCCAACCGATCACCCATCGCTGACAAACTTGATCGACCCGGCGACCCGACCCAACTCGACCCGATAAACCTCGGCTTCACTGGGCCGCCCGTGACCGATTTTCCCGTGTATGCGTCTTTGCTTGTTATGTTTATGTTGGCTGTGAAATATATGCGCGATGTGGTTATTTCTTTTCGTCAGATCACTGAGGGACCATTAACCCCAGACAACCCCTGTCTGGAGTTAATGGCCCCTCAGTGGAAGGAGGGCATCAAGGGCCAAGGCCGCTGCAGGGCCCGAAATTTGTTCAATCTTAACGTTTTCTCACAAAAAAAAGCTTACGAGTTAATACCAGTTTGCGCTTTGAATTGCATGGCAACGCATAAAGAAGCCAGTCCGGTGCCAGAGCCAAATCCCGTCTCAAACAGTCACGAAATGTTCCCAAACCTTGTATTTATCGTACGGGAGTCGTCTGTTCACTTCACTAACGATTCGGTCACTCCGCGGCGGTCCGTATTTCCGCCGTACACTGGAGCTCGGCCCGCCTACAGCGATATATCACGGGGCCCGGCCGGTGGCCAGGGCCTGGGGAGACGCGGCCGGCGCGGCGGCGCCCGCGCGCGGAATGTGGCGGCTTTAAATAAAGGCTATATACAGGCTTCCGTCTGCTCAATGGAGCACAACAACAGACTGCGGCGCCGGCCGTGCCCGGATCTCGGGGACGCGGCTGGTGGTGCGCCTACAGCTCGTAATGCACATAGTGGGGCACTCCGCGCGGGCGGCGGCAGTGGCCGAGGGGGTCCTTGTTCAACAGATATACCGGCGGTCCATGCGCCGGGCTTTGGTGGGCGGCCGCCCTCCCCGCGGCGGGGGCGGGGGCGGCGGAGACCCGTACAGGAGGGCGGGGGCGGCGCGGCCGCCGAGAGAGAGCTATTAGATCCTGTCGTATGGCTGCTTCCGCTTGTCGTGTGACCGGCCGTAGTCGTCTTGTACCAGAGGAGAGGACGTCTTCGGCCCTGCGGAGTGGACGGTCGTCAGAGGGGACAGTCTCGTGGGACAAGGTGGCACACCCAAAAAAGTCTAAAGAGTCGCGACTATCAAACGCGTGTCATAATTTGGCAAGACGACCTCTGCTTCAGACAAAACACGGTGAACTTTTATGATAGTGAGCCAACATAATATTGTACTTTTTACTCTGAAATAGTATGATGTAACTGGACACTGCAATTACATTAATGAAAACGTACGCAAATATGCCTTGTATGTGATGTTGAATGATAATACGGAACACACGTAAGAAAAGAACGGTAGAGACAAAGTCAAATACTATCCAAGGTATTCACACATCCTAACCCGGTAAAACAGCAAATACACAGCAAATGACCGGACCACGGCAAACCAAAAACATCGAAAGCAAGCTCAACGTATGGATAACGCTGCGTTCATTCTGCGTTAAGTGCTACAGCACCAAAATAACGTGTAAAACCTAAACTAACGGGGTGCAAATGTGTGCCATAAAACGTCAAAGTCAGTCGTTCCAACGGAAAATGCATCCAAGGGTGTGGTGGGTGGGTCAGCCAAGGTAACCAAGTCACAGCAGTAATCAGTAATCCCTAAAAATGACATACGAACGCCCAACAAAAACGCCCGGTGATGGTTCGTGCGTGTCGGGGTGGGGTCAGGGTTGGGGTGAGGTCAGGGTGAGGTGGGTGACCAGTCTTCCGCGTCAGGCAAAAGGAGCAGCATCGACAGCAAAAGTAAAATCAACCACCACCACACAGCAGCTCAACACCTATCAGCCAGTGAGACATCACCAAACCAAAAACCAAGCCACGGTCCTCGCGTCCAGCTGTGGATCCCTGGACCGTGTCTAACCAGCTCGGCATGCGGCGGATCCCGGTCACTAGCAGGGTGCCACGCTGAGCTCCAGCACCGCCTTACCTGGCCGGTCACACCACCACTCGGTGGGGTGAGGGGGACCGGCCGCCGCTCCCAGCGCTCTCCCCCGACCTGCGCGGCACCTCTGGTGGGCCTCACACCGCTGGTATGTGTGTGGATGTGTGTTTGCACTGTTTAACTAGACCCGAAATTGAGCACTGGATGTCACCCAGACTGACAGGTAACCAGTTGGTAACCTGTTGGTTGTAACCTTTGGTAACAGCTGCTGTCGTGGATATTGACGACCAACTGAAGGAAATAATTCACCGATTTTGGAAATTATTTTATGCAAAAAATATGGAGACAACCGGCGAATGCTGCCACCGAATGAAACAGAATTTGTGACAGTTCCTCTCTGGACATGGTTTTGTCAAGCACAGTTAGAATCAGCCAAACGGATAAGAAAAGTAAGCAGGCCAACACGCTGGATTTAACCGTATCTGGTTTCATGAATTACATACACAGCTTGAAGAGCTTGGTGTAGATTAACAAGAATATTAAATGCCACAAAGCAGGCGAACTATTTCCTTGCAGTACGGCAGCAGCAGGCTGGCCGACGAGTGTTCTCCCCGCTCCAACCACCTCAGAGTTGGACTCGTTTCACCAGCTACCACCGAGCCACCAGCTCATGGCACGGGCCCGGTCAATCGCAACTGAAATGTCCCTCAGCCGTGAGGAAGTCCCCTGGGTGCCTCCTGTGTCCTACACACTTACACCAACGACACGTGACAACAGAACACTGACCGCTCCGGTACCCCGGAGCGAGTGCGCCCGAACACTATTTACACCGACGTGAGGTGCCCCCACAGGTGCTGCACAGTAGATACTAGACACCCCAACTGAAGCCGTTACGATTAAGTGACGTACACTGTTTGGGTTAGTTAAGAATCTCCCACATCCACGTCGGAAAATTAGTCATGGTCGTGATAGATAGAGCGTGCGTTTCAGTCTAGACCATAGTAAACTAGCATTTCTACTCGGTCAGTCGCTACTCGTAGTCGCCATCGCGGCAGTCTATCTCAGCCCGTCAGGGACTGATTTCAGTCCTGCCCTCCCCCGTCTCTGCCCCATGTCGTCCCCGCTGTCCGTGTGTGCGCGCGGTGTGCGCTGTGCCGGCCCGCCTACCTCGGTACTCGTCGTGACCTCCGACGTAGCGCGGCAGAGGCGGTCGGCGCCGCTCGGGCGACAGGCCGCGGCTGTCACTCAGCCGATCAGGGCTGTACGAGGAGCGCGACAGGGTGCGGCGCGGCCCGGCCGCCGGCGGCGACCAGTCTCTACCTGTCGGACGGCGGCCGGCCGGCGGCGGCGACACGTAGCCACGCTCCGAGCGGTGCGAGCGCTCCGACAGAGGAGAGTCGCGCCCGTAGCGCGGTCCGAACTCGTCGTATCGTCCGTCGGGCGGCGGCAGGGGCGCGGCGTACAGCGGCGGCAGCGGCGGCGGCAGGAACGAGGATGGGTCGGCGCCGGCCGGTGGCGGCGGCGGCGCCGCCAGGAACGGGTCCAGGCCGGGAGGGGGCGGAGGGGGCAGGAACGCTGCCGAGAGCAGGGGGTCAGCCAGCGGGTCCACCTCCGGGCCAGGGGACACCGCGCCCGTGCCATTCGAGTTGAAAGCTGAAACACGGACGGCGTCAGACCACTGAATATCAGAAGGAACGCAACTAAATTTGATTGAGCTAGAACCCGATACCCGTAACGCATCTGCTAGTTTCTATGAATTTCACTAATTATCAAGGAACAACAAATAACAATCATTTCAATGGTAAAAAGAGCACACTTCTAATATAACAGGTTATAGAGGAGAAATACAATTATATACTGCAAAATATCCAGGGCAGCCACCTGATAAAAAGAATCGATACTTACACTGCAAACTTGCTTGCCCATTTACTAAATTATTCTTCTCTTCTTCTGCCTTCGTCAGCCTGGGAAAGAAAAACAATCGTCAAACAAAATTGGAGCAGCTTTGGCCAGTTGTTCCAACGGCCAAGACCTTTCTGACTTTTTGATACAAGAGGCCTCTGTTCTGCCCATACACGTCCGTCCTTGCCTCGTCATAATCCCCAGCGCTCTGTATAATTGCTCTGTCTCCCATGCCGCCGTAGCTTTCCACACTACGCCCACCACTAGCGCTCAGCGACAAAGACCCCTCAACCCCAATTACGGTAGCAGTCTTTCACTTTGAGCCGTAATCACAGCTCTCTATGCCGCTGCCCCACCACTCTTACCAGTTGGTTACCAACCACACCTTTAGCTCTCAGTGTTCTGTGTAAGTTACTGTCCTCCCCGCCGTCAACTCACAGTGCCCTGTACTGCTGCGCCTCTCGGTTCGCCTCCTCCAATCGCCGCTCGGCCTGGCGACACGTCACCCAGCTCTCGTGGGCGCGCTTCTCCAGAGCCTGGATCTGAGACCGGAACGAACGCTCCGTCTCCTGTGGAGCGATATAACGACATTGTCAGCCAGCGGCTCAGGCAGGGACATACACAACGGCCGCGGCTGTAAGATACACTGACAGGGGTCTTTTATTATGCTCACAGGGCGTCTGGCATCCCTGGTGAGCGCGGTACTTCTGTCTGCTGTGTCCGCCATTAAAATGGAAGCATTTCAAACGAAAACTGATGTTTATGTGAGAAAATAAAAAATGCTTCCACAAAATAAAATTAAGATCACTCAAAGAGTGTACTGTGAACAGCATAAACCTGCAATTGACACTTGACCCTACCAGAAAGCTAGGCTTAAACGGTGGTTAGTTTGACCTACACCAAGTATAAATGCCAACAACAGTCTAGCTTCCCAAGACCACACCGACCGCTGGTGTCCCCTATACCCCACCCCACGCCGTGACTGACCTGGATCTCCTGTTTAAGCGACTCCACCTGGGAGCGATAGGTGGCGATCTGCTCCTCGTACTGCACGAGCAGCCCCTGGTTACTGGAGGCGTCTCCCTCCGAGTGGGTCAACCGCGACTTGAGCACGCCCATCTCCCTGCGGGGGTGAGAGACAGCACGTCAGAGGACTAACTAGGTGAGGGTACGGGAACAGGGCGGGGTGGGAGGCTTCAGCACTGAGTAGTCAAGGACAGTGGGAACATTCCTGGTAATAGAAAGACAATGTCTGGTGAGAGACGAGCTGACGAACTGAGCAAGTAGTGCAGATATCAGTGCAAGCAGATAAGAAGTGAATTTTAGCCAAAAAGGTAACCTTTGGCCGATTGAGCCGATTCTAGCTCACGTCGCTGTAACTCACTCTTGGAAGGAGAGTTCCTTTTTCTGGAAGTACTTTTCGAGGTGCTCCAGTTTGGACTCAGCCTCGAACCGGTCGACCTCGGCCTTTTCGCAGCGCTCCGAGAGCTGACTCAGCTCCGAGCTCAGCGTTTTCTCCGCCTCTGTGGCGGCACAAAGACGGACGTAAAGACGGACGTAACACAAAGACGGACGTAATACGCGACAGACATTGAGAGAGTCGGTGGTCCGTAGTAGTGAGCAGATTACAACTGCGCCGGCAAGGACCACGAAAGGGCAGGAGGTGTGTAAATATTTTCACATGAATTCTTGGGCATGAAGCAGCAGTAAACTTGATTAAGCAAACACAGTACCTAATGTCTTCCTAACGCCTAACGGCCAAAGTCCTTGACACTATTGAACATTGAGTTCAAATGCAACATTCCCGTTCAAATGCAATGAACATTCCCGTTCAAATGCAAATATACGGTTCTTGCGTTACCTTTGAACAATCGTATTGCATCGAGTTTAACAAATCCGGTCATTTGAATACATCCCGCAGGAATTCACCAACACATGTAATTCTTCGAGCCTCACCTTGAGCCTTTTTGAGCATTTCTCGTTCTTGCTTCCATTTCTCTTTAAGCTTGGCGCGCTCTTTGGTCAGCTTTTCCACCTGAGCCTTCAGCTTTCCGCCCTCCAGCAGCGCCTGGATCTTCTCTTCAGCTGGAAACGACACAAAATTATAAAATAAAACACACAATCAATGTAACATCCCGAAGGACAATTAGTGCTCCAACCCAATACCACCCCTTAATTACGATTTTATAAAATCCTCGACGCCCTAAGAAATTTGCTAAGAAACCCTGAAAATACCGCATTTGTTGTTTTCGCAGTGACTTAAGCATCATCTCCGTATTTCACCGACCCAATGCATTATGTACTAGACTGTCAGTCTGTCAAAGCTGCTCTTGAAATGAGTTATAGCTCTTCTTCGTAATAGAATATCCGTCATAGAATTGGAAAGTCACCCCACTCACAGCCGTTGTCAGTGCCGTCCTGGACCGTCTTCAGCATGGTCTTCAGCGCGTCCACCTCCTGTGTCAGCGTGTCGGCCTGGTCGCGAGCAGAGTCCCGCTCGCTCTCCAACTCGGTCACACGCGGCTCCAGGGCAGACAGCTGCGGGGGGAGGGGGGGGGGGCGGTCAGTGTCAATGGTGCACGGGATTCAAGAGGGGCAATATAAGGAAGACAATGCAGCAACGAGACAGTCTCTTGGCCGACAAAGGCCACAGGCTGTTTGTGGCAAAGAAAGGTCAGCAATCACTTGGTTGGGGCTGTCTGTAGTCGCACAGGGTAGTACACCTAGGTATTATTTCCTATAATTTAGCCCTGAAATAACAACACATGATTGTTTCTCCCTTGCAAACCTTTTCGCAAACCTCCACGCTCCCAAGTCCCACTTCCACTCCTACCGCCCTACGCCTCCCTCCCTCTTCCCTCCCCAAACTCTTCCCTCCTACCTTTTCAGCAGCGGCGTCCCTCTCCTCTGCGATGGCCGCGCACCGCTCCGTCTCCTTCTGAGCTCGCTCCGTGAGTTCCTCCACCGTCCGGCGGTGCTGCTCCTCGACCTCGGCACTGACCCGGCTGCTGCTGCCCAGCTGCGAGGATCGGGGGGGGGGGGGGAGGTCAGAACACTGAACGGTGAGGTTGGGAGAGCGATACATTTCCCATGGAGTTACACGAACCAAAATTACAGATGGGACTCTTCATGGAAATGAAACGAAGTAGCAGGCGATCAGTGAGTGTAGCCATGAAATATGAAATCAAAGCAAATTAAAGCCAATATGGGTCACATCAAGTACATACAGTTGACGTTCATCAGCTAGAACGCACAACATGACCAAAAAATGCGGAAACAATGATCAATGACAACCCAATCGACTTAATTAACCAGTCTTCTCCCCAAGAGTGTTACCTCTGTGACTTTGGCCTCGAGCTGTTTGATGAGCGGCCGCGATACGGCCAGCTCGTCGGCCAGCTTCTTCTTGTCCTTCTTCAGCTTCTCGATCTCGCCCATCAGCTTCTTGCGCTGCTGTTTGAGGTCCGACTCCAGCTTGCCCACCGTCTCGACGATCATAGAGTCCAGCTGGGGGTTGTTGGACGCGCTCTGGGGAGGACGGGAGAGGTGGAGTTAGGCAGCGTGTTACGATAGTGCGTGGCAGATTGATAGCTCAGAGAATATGTGGCAAGGGTGATGGATGAACCAGCGGTATGAGAAGACTGGTATAACATAATGGCAGCTTGACTTAGATTGAATCGATAAATCTCATGGCGATACCAGTTTGACTGGAATGATTGTTACACGCCTAGACTAAATGCACGTTTGTGGTGACATGCAACGACCCATTACAGCTCACTGTTCATACTGGTGTCCACACCCGCACTCGAACTCGTCCCTCTTCCGAGCACATTTTCCTAAGCTCTCCCGTACCTGGTGGGTGCTGATAACGGCTCCTCCAGCAGCTGCTGTATCAGCTGCTGATTCAGCACCCCCTCCCTCCCTAGTCACCTGGTGGGTGCTGATGACGGCCGTCTGCTCCTCGAGCAGCTGCTGGGCCTCCTGCAGCTCCTGCTCCAGGCCGGCCACCTGTTTCCCGAGCTCGCTGATCTGGTGTCGGGCCTCCTCGAGCTCCTCCTCAGCTGCCTGCTGATCGGCGGCGGCTGCCTGCAGGGCCGCCTGTGTGGCCGCCGAGCCGCCCTCCAGTAACTGGGGGAGGGAGGGGGTTTCACGTTACCCACAGACACACATACAGACGGCCGAGCCGCCCTCCAGTAACTGGGGAAGGAAATTATTAGTAGGACGGAGAGGGTTCGCATTAACCACCGATACACATACACTTATTAGCAGCCGAGCCGTCCTCCGACAGCTTTGAGAGTAACGGAGGGAAGGACAGTTTAGTTTATCCTGACCACCGCTACACAAGAAAGTAAGTAAATAATAATCATGCGGGTAGTTAACATCCAATTTCAGATTAACTAGTATCATCTATGTTTTTCAGTGATATTCAGTAGTTGTAAGCCCTCACCTGTTTGTTCGTTGCATCTAGTTTGGATTTGAGCGCGTCCGTTTCCTCCTTATACACGGTCAGCCGCTGGTGCAGCTTGCTGATGGTCCGCTTCAGTTCCGAGTCACACCGGAATTGCTGTCAGAAGGTCAAAGGAGGTCAAACAACGTCACAAGTTTGACAACAGTTCAGGGACAGTTGTAAGGGTGACGGCAAATGCGTAAACCTAGAGCATATCGTGGCTAGAAGAAGCACAGGGGTCATCCGGACATGGGGTCGCCCAGTGTATTTGGGAGCAAGGTCATCGACAGAGAACGAGTCGCTGAGGATTTAAGTACAAAGGTCGCCGGTGAGTCGCGTATTAACGTATCAGCGTAGTTATACAGCGCAGTTAGCTCGCTACCGTTCAGCTTTAAATGCTCGTAAATTAAAAGACCTCTAATGGGATTGATCTGAGAAACATGGACAGCAGGAGTCGGGCGGGATCACATAGGAAAATGTTTAACAAAGCATTATCCAGGTAGAAATAAGGAAAAATTGCTGAAAAAACATGGGAACAGTGCAGACTGCTAGACATTACTTTGCAATACAATCGAGCGGTCTGACACTAAATAAGATTACGTATTACCAACCCCAGAGAAAATCCGAAAAATAGCCACCCGTATCTATACAACATGACACGACTGTAACGATGTCGACTAGTCGCCCCTTCTACTGCAGTAAGCCAGTCCAACACGTACCGCCACGGCTCGCACTCCGATGAGGAGCACCGTGAGCGCCAGTCCGATGGTGGAGAGCAGCACGGAGACGCGGGCGCCGCCGCCGGCTCCGGCGCAGGTGTCCGAGTCGTGGCCGGCCGAGTAACCATCCACCAGACCCCACAGGCTGGACGGCAGCTGCGCAAACACGGACAAACAGCAAATGATGAGCATATTAAGAATGAATAGATGGGTGGTAAGTTTAAGAGATCATGAGTTGGCGTGGAGCCTCTCGCGATTCGCCTCAAGGCCGTCGTCAAATTGGTTTGAGATCCCAATGGAAATCAGATGGAATAGTAACCTTTTGCTCATAACTAAAGTAAGCCAAAAACAAATCCAATTTGTTTTTGGCTGTTTTGGATTTGTTTTTGGCTTACTTTAGTTATGAGCAAAAGGTTACTATTCCATCTGATTTCCATTATAATCATAATCATGCTCAAAAAAAACGTTTCACACCATTCAATGGTTCGAGATCCCGACAAAGAAGGAGCACAAACAAAACACGACGACCGATGATCAGCCCAATCACTACCCGATGTCTCGCACATTTCCCCATCTCAGTTTCTCATACCGTGGTGGTGAGCAGTTCCTCCTCTCACCTGATCCTCCCAGCGCAAACCGCCCGCTACCCCAGCGTCCATGACCACCGACATCTCCGCACCACACTGTCTCCCCACCGTTCCCACCCCAGTACTGAGAGACGATCAACGCCGCAAGGCCACGGCCCTCGAACATAAACACGGACCGACACGTCATCTTTGGACCGGGGCCAGCCGGCCGCGCCCGTCCGCAGCGCACGTACTATCGACGGCGGAAAACCAGCGAAACATTCGAGGAAGAGAGGGTGAATATCCCCGGATAGTGACGTCTTCATGACGGAATTTTGTAATGACGTCTTGATAAACCTTTAACACGAAATTTAACTATAAATTGATCACAAGACACGGAACTTAGACTAACAGCTACCGTCCTATATTGAGAGGCTGCAGATGCCGTAATAAAATAGCCCAAAAAACAAACAACTTCATAGTTATAACAGCAGCCCGCAACGCCTCTTAACAATCCCACTATCCATCCCCTCCCCAATCCAACTCACCAGCGTTGCCGTCACCTCCTCCAGCAGTCCAGGCGCCTCGGGCTCCGACTGACTGTAGGCACTCTCTCCGTAGGCACTTTCCCCATAGGCACTCCCTCCGTAGGCACTCTGGGCCTGACTGTGGGCACTGTCCGGCTCCGGCTCGGCATAGGGGCTCTCCACGCTGCCGCTGGTGGAAGGCGGGTACGAGGACGCGTACTCGCTCGAGGCGGGGCCGGTCGAGGCCGGGCCGGTCGAGGCGGGGTCGCTCGAGGCTGGGTCGCTCGAGGCGGGGTCGCTCGAGGCGGGGTCGCTCGAGGCTGGGTCGCTCGAGGCGGGGCCGCTCGAGGCCAGGTCGGCTGCGTAGGGGTCGGTCGGATTCGACCCGGTCGCTGACGGGTCGGTCGGTGCAGAGTCGCTCGAACTGGAGTGGTCGGTGGGTGGCGGCCCGTCGGCGGGGGGTGGGCTGTACAGACCCGAGAGGGGGTCGTGGCCGGACGGCGGGGCGTCTGAAAATCGGGGAGGGGAGGGGCCGGTCAGCTGCGGGATTCTGGAGGCAGATTCTGGAGGAGCTGAAATCGCGAGTATCTATTCTTTAGTTTTCTTAGATTACCCTTCAGGAGGGGAAGTGGGACAAAATTTAAAATATTGACATGAGACGAGAAAAAAATCAAAGCTCCTTTTTGAAATAATGCTTACGAGAACACTTTGTAAACTGGTGTAGCTTAAAGAAGAGTCAAATGAATGAACGACAGTGCATTTGCCGTATATGTATTGTCGAGCATAATTGATTTAGTGTCAAAAACAATTCACTCGTGGAAACACTACTTTTGTTGACAAATAAACATCGTTGACCACACACAACTTCTCCGGGTGAAGCATTTTCCCTGTGGCAGCCCGCTCAGTACAAAGGCCTTGAGCATGCCACGTAGAAGGATAACTGATGTTCGTAAACAGGTCAACAAAGCTAGTCACGGTATCAAAACGGGGATTATAGCGAGCTGCTGACTGCATGGACAGCATCAACAGGTGCCTAAAGGCCAACGCTAAAACTGAGTGAGCTACGCAAAATGCAGCCAATGAAAAGAAAGACGCTTGGCCGATGACATCATAATTCATATGAGCCGAATTCATTCGCAAAACACACCTATTCATTATATTGAATGAAGCATGACAACAAACAATAAATAATCCTCGAAAATTTTGCATAGAACGTAAATTATATAAGGTTCAAAAGTGCGTGTGCTTTCTTCTTCAGACCTGAAATGAAATGAAATTAACACAACCCAATAGGCAAGCGCATGCAGCATGAACCCAAGCAAGAGCCAAGTCTAGTGTCTACCATAGGCCCCAGCATATTCGACTCATGCAACCCAAACCTACCAAGGAGCTCCTCGTCTAACACCCAAAACATTTAACTACGATACATGCACGACCTCAGACGGATGAAAGCCCCCCGCGCGACTGTGTCAGCGCTTGCACTGTGAGACTGCGGAGGGCGTCTGCCAGTATCAGTTGTTAGCCGTAGCACCCGCTCTGCTCTGCTGACTCAGGCGCAGTGAGGCGGGGCCTCTACTCCCAGCTGCTCGCACGGTGCAGTGCACGGCGCACAACTCGGGCCGAGCTCCCTCCCCCCCCCCCCCTCCCCCCCCCCAGCTGCTCTCTCATCACACCCAACGGTGCAGCGCGCAGCACACATCCCTCTCTGCGCTTCTAGCCCCCTCACCCTCCCCAAAGGTGCAGCTTGCATCGCGCAGTTCCTCAGGATCCCGCGATCCTCCCGTCCCCTCCCAACATGATGCAGCTTGCATCCCCTCCCTCGGATCGCGCTCCCCTCCTCACACGGTGCAACGAGGCCAGTGTTAGTTTGGCGTCCCCACACGGTGCGCCACAAAGTGCGGGAGACGCTGTACCGAGCTTCTCCTGAGCTCCTCGACTCTCACCGTTGAGCAGTCTCCGCCGCTTCAGCTGCTGTACCAGCCGCCGGCGCTTTCTCAGTTGTCCCCGCTCTGAGTTTCGCTCAGCGTCTTCGTCCATCCGGGAGTCGTCCGGTGAAGAGAGACTCCAGTCGGCCACGTCAGGATCGGAGTCGTCAGAGTCAGAGGGGACCGACTCAGAGGGGACGGAGTCAGGTGGGGCGGAGTGTGTCGACTCGGAGTCGTCCTCGGTGGAGGCGGAGTCGTGGTTTACGGCGTTTGGAACGGCAGTGGTGGTAGGAGTGTCTTCAATGGGAGGCAGCTCGTTTGCAGGTGGATCAGAAACACCCACGACGCTGTCGTGCTGCTCTTCGTTGATGTCAGACTCGGCGGCGGTGGGGGAGGCTGGCTCCGGCTCAACTGAACCGGATGCCTCTTCAAAGGAATTATCCGCCGAGTGTAGTTCGGGGTGTTCGGATTTCACATCTGGCAGAGTTTGTGTGTCGATATTTTGTTCAGCTTCTGGCTCATGCCCTTCAACGTTAGGTACACCATGCGAGTCAACGACAGGTTCAGCGTGTTCAGCAACTGCCTCTTCGGTTGGCGGTGATGAATCCACTGCCAACGACTGCTCAGTGATATCCCCACGCCTCTGAACACTGTCCATGGAAGGTGGTTCGGCAACTGGTGCCACACTGGGTCCAGTGTCCAACTCCTTGGTGGTTTGGTCGCTTGGCTTCAACCCCTCACTATTACCATCAGGCTCTGAGTTTATTTGTTCGTCGTTAGTATTATCAGATTCATCTTCAAGTTCATCATCACCATCAAGTTCCTCATCCTCCTCCTCATCATCATCCAATCCATCGTCATCTTCCTCAAAGTCCTCCTCATCTTGTTCCACCTGGTCCGTCACCTTGTTTGCTGCACTGTCTCCAGGCTCTGCGCCCTTTCCAGTCGCCTCTTGTTTCTCTTTCCCCGCGGTGTCCTCCAAAGTCACATGCTGTATCAGATGTCCGTCTCTCGAATCCGGTAAAGATGTCTCGATGTGTTGGAGCTCTGGATTGTTATTCTCCTCAACATCTTGTGCTCCCACGTCCTCATTTTTCTTCTCATCAGACACCACTTCCTTCTCGTCACCGCCATTCGAGAAAACCTCGCTGTCCTCGGATAACTCACGATAATCACCGCCGTCTGCCACCGAGCCGCCTGTCCCATTTTCCTCAGCTTCTGTCTGAATCTCTTCACCTGTCCCCAATGTCTGTTCCACAGACGGTAACTCGACAAGGGAGTCATTCTTCTCCGTCACATCATCCACAGTCGCCGGTACACCGTCTATTTGAACCGCGGAGGACACCGTCGCTCCCTCAGCGGTGATGACGGGCTGATGCGGGGCGGGTGTCGGACTGCCTGCACCGCCCAATCCGCTGAGCTCCGCCGATAGAACAGGCCCAGGGGCGACACCAGCGGAACCGTGACCTGAAGGAGGCCACCCAGAGAAGGCACGTGTCACCGGCCCAAAGGTCAACAGGGTCAAAGTCGGGGTTCCTACTTGGGGTCAGCTTTTTATGGTTTTCCGGTTCTACGACTAAGGGGCTGAATAATGCAAGGGCGTCAAATAAGCGCCCTTGCAAGGGGTTCAAGCTTGAATATAGAAAACCGCCACCGAGAAAGAAGCACCCATTAGCAACACAGTTGGGAGAAAATTCCAACAATCACAGCCATCACCAATCCTATCCAGTGGGGTGTTGAAAAGCAACAGCGTCAAACTCCCCACCACCAGTAAACGGTCACACAACACTCACCTCCCGAACGACAGCATCGACTCACACGCCCGCTATTCACTCTCACCCTTCCCATCACCGACCTTCCAAACTTGCGTGACCTTTTCACACAGCTCCCACCATCACCACGTCCTGTATACCACGCCACCCTGTAACCACACACTGTCCAGACGGTACTCACCGACCGCTGGCGGCGGTGCTGACGAATCCCCGGACCCAGCGGGCTCCGGTATCTCGGGAGATGCTGGTGACGGTAGCGCGTCAGCGGTCTCTGGCGTTGTCTCTGCAGCTGCCGGGTCCGCCGGGTCTGCCGGCTCAGCCGCTGCCGCCTCAGGAGTGGCACTGGCAGCGTCAGCGGCGGCCGGGTCTACAGTACCGCCGGCGCTGGTTACGGCGGCGGGCGGGTCTGATCCCACCTCCGGGACGGCAGTTCCGTCAACAACAGGAGCGGACGGATCCGCCACAGGGACAGCGGGCTCTGGAGCAGCCGGTGTGCCACTGAGGGAGGACCAGAAGCCACCGCCGGCCTCGGCACTGTCGGCAGCGGGTTCCGCAGCGGCGGGTTCCGTAGCGACGGGTTCCGTGGCGGCCGGTTCCGCAGCAGCCGGCTCCTCAGCGATAGGTTCCACGATGGCAGGTTCCGCCGGTTGAGGAGCCGCCGGCGCGCCGCCGCCCAGAGAGGACCAGAACCCGCCTTCAGCCGCCTGCTCCGGCTGTTCTGTGCCACTCTCTGCCGCCTTCTCACTCTCCGGTACCACCGGCTCCACCGGTTGCGCGGGTCCACCACCGAACAGCGGTGGCACCGGCTCGGCTGAGCCTGGTCTCGGCCCGCCCACCTGCTCTATCGTTCCCACGCCCACGCTCTGCCCCGCCGCCGCAGTCTCCGTCCGCTCCGAGTTCGGTGCTGGATCAGTTTTGGAGTCGGCACCACCAGTCGCGTCGTAACCCTCTTCGGCGTCATCCACGTCGTCAGTTTCATTGTCTCCGGGATAGTCAGCGTCATCCGCCTCGAGCTCGGCGCCTGGAGTCTCAATACCCGGTTCCTGGCCGACCTGATTGTCAGTCGAGTCAGCTGGGGAAGCCTCGGTTGCTTCTGGCGGCTTCTCACTTTCCGGTTCTGTCCCCTGGGCACCATCCGCCACCGCCGGGTCAGTTCGTTTGGCAACCTCCTCAGATGAGAGCGGCACTGTCTGGGCATCCACCGCACCCACAGGCGGCTGAGTCTTCTGGTCCTCGGCCATCCCCGGCAGGGTCACCTGCATCTCTGGCGGAGGCGGGGGCGGCTGGGACGCCGCCGCGCCGGGCACCGCTCCGAACAGACCGCGGTGTCCGCCGGTGGCGTCCAGGGCCGCCCCAGACGGCCGCGGACTGGGAGCTGCAGCCGGCGACGGGGGGTGATCGTGCTGGAGGTGTGGGTGCTGCCCCAGCAGCTGATCTGCCGGCTGGAAGGAGGCGGGGTCCACACCGGCCTGAGCGGGCGGCGGCTGGCGCGCGCCAGGGTCCGGCACAGCGGCAGACGGCGCGTGAAGATGCTGTCCCTGCGCTTGCTGTTGTTGTAGTTGCCACTGTTTCTGCTGTTCATCGATCTGTTGTGTCTGCTGCTGCTGTTTCAGCTCTTCGTCTCGAAGGTGCTGCTGTTGTTGCAGTTTTTGCTCTTCCTGGAGGCGCAGTCTCTGCTGCTCTTCCTCTTGCCGTCGAGCCTGCTCTTGTTGAAGCTGCTGCTGCCGGGCCTGTTCCTCCTGAAGACGCTGCTGTCGAGCCTGCTCCTCTTGAAGCTGTTGTTGTGGTTGCTGCTGCTGCTGTAGAGCCTCCTCTTCCTGCTGCTTCAGCTGCTGCTGTCGAGCCTGCTCCTCTTGGAGACGCTGCTGCTGCTGCTGCCGCTCGCGGAGGGTTTTCACGTACTTGTGATGCCAGTCATGACCCAGGCCAACCACCCTCGGCCTGGGCAGCTGCTGATTCTGCCGGTACTCGGTACTATACGGGTAAAACGGCTCGGCGGGTCCCTTTGACCGCCGCGCCTCTTTACTTCTACCCTGTCTTACTGGCTCGACTTCTACTAGCCTCTTTGGCCGCTTTTCCATTTTTAGCTCTCGTATAAAGTTTTTCGGTACATAGCCGCGCCGACCGTTCACCTGAAAAACAGAAAACCGAAACAAAACGATCAAAATCGGGTGAAAAGTGCACTCTCTGACGATGATGTCTATAGGTGTAGGCACAATTTTGGCATCATTCATGGTGAAAAATGCCAGTTTTCCAGACAATCATACCGATCGAAATTTTCTTAAGACATACAATAGTTTACCGATGTTTACTATTCATAATTCACTAAAGGTCTTTGGCAATGCACGCGCATTTTCTGATACAAAAAAGTAAACAACATCACCCATGCTCCGGGCATGGTGCCAACAAGTTCTGCTGCTGCGAACCCACCTCGACGCCATACAGGCTGGGGTTATCACCGGCCGGGTAGCTGTACACCACCACCTTGTCGTTGGGCTTGACGCTGAGCATGCCAGGCTCGCTGGCTGTGTAGCGCATCAGTACCATGCCCCGAGACACAGGCTCTGAGGACCAGATACAAGCGTTATCAGGGAGCACTGAGCGACACAGGCTCATAGTACATATGAAAATTAGCTGGTTACTGATGAGAAAAGGTCACACTAGACTAGGGAGAAGGGATCAGCACATTTCAGATTAATGCAGCATGTTAAACCTTTGGTTATAATCGGCAGCGGCGAACCATCCGCGGAAAAGGCCAGAATAAAAAGCACGCAAGGTCGCAAGGTCGTTAATTGTAAAACAAGCAAAAAACAAACAAATAAAAGCAAGCAAACAGTACAAACAAAACACTGCTTCAAGCCTTCTTAGTTCTTTTTACCAAAGAACTTTACCTTCACACAGTGTGTGTGTAGGGGGAGGGTGATCGGTCGAACGGATCACCCCCCTCGCGTTTTTCGCGTATAACTCGCGTAAAAAGCGACCAATCGCAACAAACCTTTCAGTGCCATCAAATTGATCACTTTGAAACATATCCAGAAGATTGCATGGCAATGACCCAAATGGCCTTTGGCCTGTGGCCTGGTTCTCGAGACCATGCAGGCCGGAATAACGATTCGGCGTATGTCAGCGCACTTTACCCGCACGTTTTAGTTTTTTGTGGCTGTTTTGTGGCTGTGAACATTTCAACATGTAAAATAACATTTGCCCCATACATTATGGTGGTGTCAAGGTCAAGTGAACGCCAGGTCAAGGTCATTGATCTTAGATAACCTCGGTTCACTTTCTCGAATTTTGCATGTTTGTATGACATTTTTTTTTAAAGCTGATTTTGAATTTTACACTCATTTGTACATTTACGAAATAGTTTTGGTGCCTATGTAACATGTTAAGAAGCTGTCAGTGGTGGTTGACACCTACTGTGGAAAGCAGGCATGTTAAGAAGCTGTCAGTGGTGGTTAACACCTACTATGGAGTATGGAAAGCAGGCAGGATGCACATTGGATGCCCTGACCTGACCTGACAAACCCTACCCCAAATGCATAAATACATTATCTTTGATTAAAATGTATACACAATTCAGAATCAGGACTGAAAAAGCCTTGGCACAAATCCATCAGGGTCTAGCCAGCTGTCACCGGGTCACTGACATTTCATCATCAACACTATTCTATTGCCAACCAGTCACTCTTGCTGTTCAGCGATGTACAGCTCCAGAATCTGAACTGTTAATAGCAGACAGGATTGTGATGGTGAAATTTTGGTAACAAGGGTAGATGAAAGGTCTTGAGTTGATTGGGTGTGTTAGGAAGCTTGCATAAAACTAACAGATGTAATTTTATAATTATGTGTTAAACTGCTTAAGTTCTCTGTGTTTAGTGTTGAATTTGAGGTTATTGGTGCCATCCTCAGGTCTGAGACTAGTGTTATGGGTTCGGTATTGCTTCGTACTGACGGTAAATTTGTTAGAAATTATCATTCACACATGTTTCACTTTCTATTTCAAAATCATCGTTTTTCACTAGCTGTCACAGCAGCTGTTTGTTCGTTTTTACAGGTGCTCGTGTTTATCCGCGGGCTAATCCTCATTAAACTCCTTCATTAGACAGATTATCTACAACAATATCCCCCACAGACAAAGTTTCCGCCCCGGAAACTGATCAACCTCTGCATGGCCCGCGGACATTGATGCACCAGGTAAGACGGTACACTTTAACACTTTACACATACCTATGTACATTCATACATGAGCAATGAACACTTCAAACCACAGGTATTACCTAGGAACACAAAATGTACATGCCACTTCTGTCATACATCACCACTTAAAACAGGATGGATATTCCGTTTCACATAGTAATACCTTATCCACTTCAAGCCGAATCAGCTCATATGAGCTGACTAGTGATACCTAATGGGGTGTCTGACAGTTCGACCCGCTCTCGTGATTATCGACTTTGGCACATTTGGAGTCGCCTGAGTGACCAGGTCCTGCTGCACAGAGGACTTGTCTTGCCGCGGCTTTTTGTCGCCATGTGGCCTTACTTGTTTGTCAGCTGACTGGGGATCATGCCTCCTGGGTGCTAATGCTCGGTCTCGGTTCTGTGGGACTGGGCCGAACTGATGAGGCGATGAGCGTTGACTGCGTCGCCAAATGCGAGTGGGGTAAACAGGGGCCCCAGTGGGTGAGTTTCCCGTGCTTGGGTGATACGGTTTTAAGCGGTTGTGGTGGACCGTCATTTCCGTCGTCTCTCCTTCACAGGCTATGAGATATGTCCAGTTTCGACGTTTCGCTATCACGCGGTAGGGTCCCTTCCAGCGAGGGGACAACTTTCTCACGTCTCCACCCTGTACCGCATTTTGTCTGAGCCAGACGCGGCTGCCCGGCTCATAGTTATGTTCCACTATGCGCGCATCATGCCTGATTTTGCTCTTGTTATGAGCCGCTGTACTAGCAGAGTGTATCTGCTGATCGGTGCGTTTGAGGGTGCGCTGTAAACCAGCCAGGTACTGGAAGGTGTCACGGGGCACCTTCATGTCCACCAGCTCGCTTTGACCGTTGGAGACAGAGCTGTACTTCAGTGAAGCCGGTAGTGGTGCAGGACGCCCAAACACGCACTCATATGGCGACAGGCCTGTGGCCGCACTAGTGTTGGCGTTAAAAGCCAGCACTGCGCCGCTCAGGTAACGGGACCAATGACGGTGCTCTGCGGCGGCGAGTTTAGCCAGTGTGTCGATGAGGAAACGGTGGCTACGCTCACAGTAAGCGTTCCCTTGAGGATGATAGGCTGTCGTCGTGCTCTGTTTGATTCCAAGATTGTTGTAGAACATCTTTGCTACGTTTCCAACCAGGTTTCTGCCCTGATCGGAGTGAATTGATTTAGGCACCCCAAACTGACCTACGATACGGTCCATCAGTGTCTGGACTATCTCGGATGCTTCCTGTGTTTTAAGTGGGAAAGCCCATACAAATCGAGTGAATGCATCGATGCACGTCAGAATATACCTGTAACCTTCCGGCTCACTGGTGGGGAGCCCAGATATGATATCGATGTCAAGCCTGTCAAGGAACTCAGACGCCTGCAGTGACCCCAATGGGGCCTTCGGTGGGTGAGGAGGATCTTTGCGGCGAGCACAGACCTCGCACTGTTGGCAGAACGCTTTCACATCGGTCTGCATTCTCGGCCAGTAGAACTGCCGGCGAAGTGCACTCTCCAATTTTGCCGCCCCCTGGTGTCCGCCTCCTAGTCCACTGTGATGGTCATCCATCAGGCTTCTTCTCAAATGTTGGGGCACCACTATCTGGAGACATGATGGGGCTCCTTTGTAGGGCTGGACTCGCCTGTACAACACGGGCGTATCGCCTGTGACTACTAATCGGTTCCACTCTCGTAGCAGCTGAGCGGCGTGCTCTGTGTTCACCTCGCTTGGGTGGGGTTTTCGACGCAGCTGTATCCAATGAACGATCTCTCTGATTCCAGCATCATTGAACTGCTCTTTCTGAAAATCTCTCAGCTCGATGGGATTGATACTTATCAATGACTTTGGCCCAGTTACGACTGCAGCTGCTGCAGCTCTATCGGGCTGGCCAGATGCATACGTACCAGTGGACTCGATGCTATCGATGTGCGTCTCTTTGGTAATCTGATCAGTGGCCGAGTCTGTCTGTGGTTCTGACGCAGTTGGAGACTGAGGATGCTGGCCTGCATCTGCCGAGTGGGTTCTGCTGGCGGGCAGTGACAGAGCGGAACTCGTCTGTGCCATGTTGGACACTGCGCTTGGTTCTGGACTCGCCTGCTCAGTATCCCTTGTAGGAGAGAGCGCCATAGGAAGCTCTGCCTCTGGGGCCTCAGGAATCGGAACACAGACCCACCGGTACCGCTGCTCCTGGGCGGTCAATGAATGTGGATATCGAGATAGTGCGTCTGCGTTGCTATGGAGACTACCACGCCGGTGCACGATATCAAACTCTAGCTCGGATAGCTGAAGCAGCCAGCGAGCCAGCTGCCCCGTCGGGTCTTTCATATTAAAGAGCCACTGTAAAGCCGAATGATCAGAACGCAGGAGGAAGCGTCGTCCGACCAGATATTGTCTGAAGTGCGTAGTACCCCAGACCACTGCCAGAAGCTCGCGCTTGGTGACGCTGTACTGACGCTCAGCTTTGGTAAGAACCCTGCTGGCATACCCGACTACCTTGTCACCCTGCATGAGACAGCCTCCCACGGCCGCACCGCTCGCATCTACATCGAGCACGAACTGAGGTGCCTCCTCGCTGAATACCGGCAGTGCTAACACTGGCGGTGAGGCCAGTGCTGCTTTCAGACGATCAAAAGCACTCTGTTCCTCCGGTCCCCAGTGGAAAGGGCGATGCTTCTCGGTCAGCTTTGTTAGGGGTTTGGCTAAAACTGCATAACCTCGAATATGGCGGCGCAGGTAGCCTGCTAGACCTAAGAACACGCGAACCTGCTTGGCATTAACCGGGACAGGCCAGTTCTGGATGGTTGTGATCTTTTCCGGGTCACACTGCACGCCTGCCGCACTGACGGTGAAGCCGAGGAAGCTTACCTCCCTTTTGCAGAGCTGCAGCTTCTTCAACGAGACAGTTAAGCCCGACTTTTGCAGCGCAGCTAAAACTGCCTCCAAATTGGTGCGCATCTCGTCCAGAGTTTTGGAAATCACCATTACATCATCAAAGTATTGGATGACTGTCTCTGGGGGAACGTCGGCGAGGACTAGCCGAAGAGCACGATTGAATGAGTGTGGGATACCCTGTATCCCGTACGGAGCAGTAGTGTAACGGAATAGGCCAAACTCCGTTGCGATAGTTGTTTTGGCTCTATCTTCTTCTGCTACTGGGAGCTGATGGTACGCGCTTTTGAGATCTACCGATGTGAAATAGACGGCTCCGCTTAACTTCTGTAGGCATGTGTCTATCCTGGGTATGACCTGGACGGAGGGGGTGGTGATGCGATGGAGACGACGGAAATCTCCACATATTCGGACCGGACCGCCGTTGACCCGTTTCACCAGCACCAAGGGAAACGCCCATTCGGAGTCCGGGACGGGCTCCAGCACTCCCTGTTCCACCATGTCATCTATTTGTGATTTGACTTCCCCTGAGAGGTGGGCTGGTATGGGACGTGGGCCCTGAAACACGGGCGGGTGGGTTCCAGTGGGTATTTTGTGCTCCGCGACATCAGTGCGGCCCAGTCCTGCAAATACCTGCCTGTATTTATGGAGCAGGGCCAAAAACTCGGAACGTGTCGGCTCCTCCAGGTGTGCCACAGCCTGATCGGGACAGAATTCTGTTTCAGTTTCAGGCACCTCACTGAACGAGAACTCATCTAAGGATTCGAAATTGGCGATCTTGGTACCTTCGTAGAGGGTGATGGGGCTGTCTGAAAGGTTGCCGAGTCTGACTGGTACGGTATTATCGTGCACAGTTACCGCCAAACGGGCTACACACAGCTCGGTTTTGTTAATGAACTCCCCGTCCCCTTCCACCAGACCTGTCAGTCCCAGGTCACCATCAGGCATCCCCTTACAGCCTAGTGAGTGAGCCAGCTCCTTAGCTCGGCTACATTCAGCTAGAGACACGGTAGCGGGCAAAATAATTTCACTGTTGGCTGGCACAGCGATTGTGCGGGCGATCAGCACGGCTCCCGTGCGGTGCCCCACTTTTTGCACCGGATCACCCTGTGCTGCGCCAGTCGCATGCATTGGTAGCTCCTGCCCTAATACCCACATTTCCCCGTTGGATATGTCCATCACTGCTTTCGAGGCCGTAAGCACATCTGCCCCCAACAAGCATGGCTCACACAAGGTGGCGGCCACGTAGACGCAGGTAAGTTGTCGGAAAGGTCCAAGCTGCAGATCTACATACGCACATCCCATTATCCCGGAATATTGTTCGTTGTTCGCTAATTTCACCGGGTGGGATACCGGCCGGATGGGTGTGACGTCACTCAAAATGTCACGCCGAACCACCGTGTGGTCGGCTCCAGTGTCGCACAGAGAATTAACACTCTTGCCATTTATAAACAACTGGACGTACCGACCTGGCGTGTGTCTCCTCACCACCGGCGTCGCGTCGGCCGTCACTGCTGTGCTCGTCACTCCCGGAGCTGCTGCGTCTGCTGCTGCGGCTCTACCAGCTGCTGATTTGGCATCTGTGGCGGTAGAGATTCCTCCAGCCGCGGCGATGGGACAGGTCGTCCCCTGTCGGTCCACGCTTGCAGTACCGCCGCGCCCGTGCTGTAGTCGTTCGGAACCGGCAGCGGCGGTGGTAATGACTGCACTGGTGCCTGGTTCTCGGCTGTCCACATGAGAGGAGCCACTGTCCTGGTGACGCGGCCAGTCTGCCCTTGGCTCCCTGGGACAGACTGCCGGGCGTTTCCCAAGCTTCTTCCACGGGGCTGGTTATTGCCCCGCGCTCGCGTCGGTCTCCCTCGACAGACCGTACTCAGGTGACCCCTGCGTTCGCAGTTGCCGCAGATATCGTGGCGGAAAGGACAGAGAGCGCGGATATGACCCGATAGGCCGCACGTGTAGCAGACGACCGATGAGCTCCTCCGTCCTTGCGGGTCGGCCTGTTCGACAGCTGGGCTGGTCTGAGCACGATACAATCCTGCCGGGTGAGACTGGACAGACGCATCAGCCCGCTCGAATGCTCGGACGTGCTCCACAGCGGCGTCCAACGTTGTGGTTCTGGCCTTCGTAAGATCTCGCTGATACTCCGAGGGTAGCACTTTCTGGAGGTGGATCCAAGTCAGCTGATCCTTAGTAGCCTTGTCTGAAACGGTGGGGTAGGCGTACTGTACTAGATCCTCAATAGCGAGCAGGGTTTTCATCACATTTCCTTCATAAGCCACCGAATCTAGGCGGTGGATGGCCACCATGGGATCTGGTATCCCTCCCAGTAGCTTCACCACTTCGGCGGAGATCGAGTCGAGTGTGGCTGCCGGGCACGCTGCACACACGTGTCGGACACATTCCTTTACATTACCAGAAACAAAGAAACGCAAGTTTGTCACAAGTTTGTCGGTATTCCACTTCTTCATCTGACCAAACAAACAGTAGTCCTCCAGCCATGATATCCAATCTTGTGCACTGCCGTTCTCAAACTTCTCCAGAACCAAATGGTCCGACATTTTTAACACCGCTGCCACCACTGTTATGGGTTCGGTATTGCTTCGTACTGACGGTAAATTTGTTAGAAATTATCATTCACACATGTTTCACTTTCTATTTCAAAATCATCGTTTTTCACTAGCTGTCACAGCAGCTGTTTGTTCGTTTTTACAGGTGCTCGTGTTTATCCGCGGGCTAATCCTCATTAAACTCCTTCATTAGACAGATTATCTACAACACTAGCAATCATATCAGTTAGGATCACCAGAGGTGAACTGCAAAGTATGTCAGTTTTTAATTTTTAAAAGCTCTTATTGGTTTGGGATTACTGAGCCATTGTGGATAACTACCTATGGCAAGAAGCAGTGTGGTGCCAGGTGCAGTTATGCCAAGCATCTATTCTAATGACAGAACAGCATAAGGACCTATGATTATGGTGTCCTAGACTTGAAAAAGAAGGGCCAGCAACTGGGTTTTCTGAATTTCCCTTTTCTTGTCAATTTTTGTGCCTCAACAATTCAGACTTCATATTTATTGATGTGGTCGAGTTTCAGCATGTTTGGTAGGCACAGGCTAAGGCGGGCCACTCCTTTGGCTCATGTGGGTTACTTCAGCTGATGTTATGCTTTGAAACATGGTTATAATATCAATCAAGATTAGACTAGAACTGATGCCAAACAAACAGGTGGACATTATGTGCACAAACACCAAGCATGCACATTTCAATGGTACTACCGACAATGTTTCTGAACCCACACTGTTTCTCGCAGGATATCAATAAAATATTATGGCTATAACCATAAAAAGATGCTTGCCAGATTTATCCCAAAGTAACCTAAACTGAGAATGGATGTTCACAAAATTCCAGGGAGCAGAAAAACAACAAAATGATTGGGTACGTTCAACCGGACATACAACAGATGCATTCATTGAAAGATTGAATCTTATTACATTTTCTTCATTTTGAGCTTGTATCATTGTTATATTAAATATTAACATCATCCAAAACAGTGATTAGACATTTATGGCGCAGAAACCCGAACGGTTCTGCGCAGTTTGCGGAAGAAAAAAGGAAAAATATACACACCTTCGCATTTTTTGTCGTAGCATAGCCTATGACTTGATAATTTAGCTGTAATAACACCAAAGTTTCCGACTAAAACAAGAATAAATAGCGTCCGCAGGCCCCAACCCCACTCCATGTTTTGACATCTGCTTCGTTGGAAGAGTGCTGCCAAATGGGAATATTAAATATATACTAAAAGAAAGCAAAAACAACTATTTTCAACCAGTCGTAAATGCTTTTGGTGAAGCTTTTAGCGTTAATCAGCGTATCTGCGGTATCTGTTGCCTGACTTTTCGTAAGAACGTAGCTGAGAATTCGCAAAGGCTTATTTCAAACACAGACTTATCATATCTAGTCGAAAGAAAAGGTTCAAAGGTCACTAGTAGAAAATGAGTTTTTAGTATGATGATCGTTGAGAAAAAGTAGGCTAATAATACGCAGTTGAGACATCGATTCTGTACATATCTGAGCTACAAAGTGTTAGGAACTGGGGTACTATGGTTACGATGCTAAAAAGTCATCTTCTATTGGTTTGTTGCTTCAGTCGCTATGGAAATTACAGGACTTTAGGTTTATAAGCATACCACTGAACATAACTAGATTAGGTACAGGAAATTAGCAAATTGAATGCACGTGGGTGTTTTGCGTCAAAGAATTATGAATATTTTTCAGTTGATGGGGTTCAGTTGATGTTTTCAGATTTAGTTTTTGGCTTTTAAAACTGGTTATTGTTATATCTATTTATACTTATTGTATTTATATACACTGTGGTTATATCAATATGCATTTGTGATCTGTCCATCCACAAATACTTATTGCTACTTTAGCTTGCCTGCTATCCTGACAAACTTTATTTTTTACCCTGTAGGCTGTGGATGTCGACCGCGCTTTGTACTGTCGCACTTCAGTTTGTAATGCACAACAACTTTGTTAACGGGTAAAGGCTGTGAGAAAGCCTCTGTATCCAGTCTGCAAATTATGGCAGTTTCAATGAGATCTTGTTGGTGCAGGCTTACCTATTCAGCTGGTTCGGATTTGGTGCGGTGCAGATTTGGCTTGGTGCAGTGCGGATTTAGTACCTCAAGTGCGGTGCAAAATTGGCTAGGTGATGGACATGACAGACCAGACGAGATAGATGAGGAAAATAAAAAAAATATTGTTAGAGCTTCAGCATAACGTAATTCAGTGTGCTCTCGGGTCTAAATAAATGTGTGATGGTCAGAACGGACTACCAGTGCTGGTGGTCCCATCAATCACGTGGGTTGGGTCTCCCGCAAGTTCGCACTCTTTGCACTGTTACAACACGAAACGCACCGCTTCGCTCTGTGAGGCGCCTGTGGTAGAGTGAGAGAGATGAGCACGGCCGATGAGAGGGATTAAGATTTGTACGGCCGATAGGAGTGCCAGCAAATCACCGCTGGCTGCTTCAAGCAGTCAAATGCGAACAATTTATCGGGTAGGTACGTTTGACGCAACTAATAGGTTGCGTTGAAAGAAGCTGAGTGCTGCATTCTGCTTTCTGCAGCATTCGTGAATCAGATACGCTCGGCTCATGTGATCATTTGGCATTGTCGCTCGGTGGTAGGTAGGGCGAGATGCGCATTCCGCATGGCTGATGGCAGGCCTTGAGGACCACCACTTTGCCGCAGCTAAGTAGTCAAATCCGCTGTGAATGACTTGCCTATCAAATGTGTTGTTTGATACAGCTAATGACCTAATGAGAAATGCAGAAAATGCATGCATGCGATGGACCCATTTGTTGCCGTTCATATTTCTATTTTTGTAACTGGGGCCTTCACAAGTTGTCAAGCCGTTTAGCTAAATGGCAGTGTCGACACCATTAGGGTAGCCATGGTACATCGCACAATAATCACCCTGGATGAATCGCCAGGGACAGGTATTAGAAAGAATTATCGTATTGGTGTGACATGCTTTTTGTTCTAGTCTTGCAGTGCGTATCTCTCGTTTTATTTCCATACTACTGAGACAGCAGGCTTGTGACTCATATCAATAATTTGAATGGACTCAATGGAGGTCAGTGCGGCTTTCAACTGGTCAGTTGTGCGGGTTTGTGTAGATTTTTTTGTACTCTAAGCCAGCTTTGGTGCGGATTTTCTGTCTCTGTTTGAAGGATTGGTGCGGATTTTGAACTTGGGCCGGTGTGCCTCGTCGACCTGCGAGCCATACTTTGCAGACTGGCTCTGTATAGCCTTGAGGCTTGAATTTGATGCAGACATCAGCAGCCTCAGAATATACTCTGTCACTATTTGTTTGTGCTCAATTGTGCTTGGTATACTGAGAAGAGATAATTCCCAATTTTGACTTTTTTTAATCAGAATAAGAACACACCAAGAGACCCCCATTATAGGGTCCAGTACAAGTTAGTTTCTATAAAAATGTGCACTCTAGAAAGCTATTTAGGTAGTGGTTCTTTGTAGTGCTTAGTATATTCCCCGTGAAGAGTGAACACTCTTGTACGCACAATCATAGTTTGGTTTGCTGGTGATCAGGTTGTGCAGCACAGACAGCTTGATTTGGACCATGCTCATTCTAGCTGTGCCTGCTCGGTGCAAAGGCTCGCCACTGGTTTTTGTCCAGGTCCTGCTGGACGATAGCTTAAAGTTCTTCGATCAGGATTAGGTCCAGATTGTAGTCGGGCAACACCTCTTTCCTTCAGAAGTCCGGCTGGTTCGACTTGCACCTCCGGTGGGCTTTGGTGGAATGACTTCCAGCTGCTTTTATCTGGGTGATTTTTTGTCACAGTCGGCTGATGCCCCGATCTGGTGCAATCAGCAACGCTGCCAGCAGTCGTATATTTCTACTACAGCCAGCGCCGGACTGTGCGGGCAGATGTTGCAAGCCGATCAGCTACCAGTTAAGGCAGATATGGCACGCCATGTCATCTGTTAGGAGCATGCCAACTAAGTGTTTGATTCCGCTCCCCGAGCTCGAAGTCTCTGACCTCAACTTTGCGGCTGGCCGTTTGGAAAGACACATTCTGTGTGAAAGTGGCCATAGCTCGGCGACCGCTGATCCGAGGTCAGTTCGCGACCTCATGTTCCGCGGCCAAGGACCAAAAAATGTAGGAGTGCAGCCAGGACTGTTATCCCCTAGGAGTGGAAACGATTAGGCGCCGGATAAGTGTCGTTATGGGGAGGGGACAAAACTTTTGCCATACCCTGTAGTCTTATGTGAAACTCATTTGGCTGCATTTTTAATCAGCCATCTTCTATGGTAACCGAGTGGTGTTCTTGATTCTGTGTTAATGTTAACACCGTGAACTGTTGGTATGCGCCATTATCTGAGCTGTGCCACTGTTCCAGGTTCGATAGCTAACAGCTCTACTTCATCAAAATGGAGATAATAGAAAGAAATGTGAGCTCTGCCCATGCCAAACCGCCTGCACTAACAACTCAAAGAGGATTCCCGGAGCCACAAAAACTAGCAGTAAGTAGGTACCTGTGTTGCATGAATATTTTTAACATCGACTATTGCTGTACCAATGAAAGTAATTAAAGGTAGTGTGCCAGCTTTCTTGGACCGTATGGAGTTAATGGCCCAGATAAGGAGAACCGGATTTTTAGAACTTATCCATACCTTCAAAACTCATGGAAACGTCTTAAATTCTTCAAATTTTGAGTACCCCAGTGCGAAATTCGCCCCGACGGGTTGTCGGTCGTACCCCAACCACATTTCACACCACTATGAACAATAAATGCACACACTGAAATCGCTATTACCGATATGCTCATCCAATCAAGTTTCGATAAACCCGTTCATCATCTCCTGCGGTTTCGAACACGCCTGTTAGGTGGCTTCTGATGCTCGTCGAGGTCGGAATTTCCAAATACGCGTGGTGCGTCGGGCCGCGCGCTCTGACTTCGGCCAAGAAAAATGCGTCAGCTGATCATTGTCATTTCTGCCACTTGCGTGTGGTGAAATGGGGTCATAACTTATAAGACGGCTTTTTCATATCAATTATTTTACATAAAATCATATTTCAAACCATAAATAATGTTCGACAGCCAAATAAAAGAAACAATACCAATACGGGCTTACAGTTTAAGGCTCGACATTGTGTTGTCTACGATTAGACAGCTGATAACTCATTCCCGAACGTCGTATGGTCGTAACACTATAATGACCTTTGCTTATTGTCACAAGTGCGCCGCATTCGCGATTGTTGCCCGACGCCTGTTTGCAGGTGAGCCCACTATAGTTGTTACTAGGGTTACCCGCGTGCTCCGCAACGCTAAGGGGGGATTTTTTGACCCGTGGGTTGGTCTGTGTCGATTTGGTTGGTAAATATCCATTTCGTTCGATTGCTTTTTGAGTTGACGGCCAAGCATTTTGTAAGAAAACAAAAAGATACATCGCATCGAGGTGCCCGTGTCGTATTATCATGCGTTCTACTTTAGAATGGTTCGGAAACTGGCGTGAAGTCTTTTGAGGACCATCGATGAATTTCGGTAAAAATGACTATGTAGTGGTTTGAAACATTTGCATTTTTTAGAATATTGTTGCTTGTCATGCAAAAATGTTGGGTGTATCTTCGACAAAATTGAATGCTCTTTCAAACAGTACCAGTTTCAATTGCGAAACATATCAGGTTATGCAGCAAAACCCGTGTAATTAAGAAAGCGGCACATCATCGACAAAAACCATTTTCTCCAGCGATTTATACCACCTTGTCGTCGATCAATTAGCTATTCACAATTTTCCCATGAGAGACGGTACATTTCTCTTGTCAACAGGCGTTGTTTCAACTCGCTCCGTTTAACGGTCACCTAAAAATAAAATTAATTCCAAAATCCCTCAAAAACCGCAATTTTTCAAATAAAAGTGCCCTCTCCGGTGCACGTGGCGCGTGCTATCCTCTGCATTGCACACCATTCAATAGCCCGTTCAATTCTGTACACGATGCTGTTTTCCCCGTGCCGGTCGGACCCCTGGTCACCAAGATATTGCACGGGAACTGGACCCGTGTCGGCCAAAATTAGCCGTTTTCGCCCGATTTCGCACGCCGATTTATACATGTAAAGTCTATGACGCGAATTTGCACTTTTTGAGCACGCGCCACGCGCTCCCTATCAATCCGATCGAGCTGAGACCCCTCAAAGGCACGTCGCGCATCCTTGATCTATAAGTTGTGCAAATTTCACCGGGCTAGGTGCAACGGTCTGGCCTGTAGTCCACGCAAAGCACCACCAAGTCGGGACCTCGGTAACGGACAGACGCACCCTCCTCAAATAGTAATAGAGATACATATCTAAAAACCGAAAAACTTTTAGGCGAAAAAGGCACTATTCCAGGCCCATTTTTGATTTTTTTGCGATATTAGGTAAAAACAGAAGCTTCTTATCCTAGGAAAAATAAAATGGGAAATCTTTCAAAGGTGGCACACTACCTTTAATTAACGAGCCTATTTAGATGGGCCTCAAGTAGTCGCTTGAGAGGCTTACAGATAAATATGCGTACCTTTAATCTTCTCAGACTGTTGATAATCCCAGTGCTAAGCGGTTGTCATAAAAAGAAAAATCATGGTCGTTATTCGCTAATATGCTAAAACGAGAGAGGCATCAATAAAGTTTTGGTGGCTTATCCAAACCCAATCCAAACCATAGCTGATCGGAAACAGGTGCGGATGTTTATCAGGGTCTCTCTCGGCTCAAGCCTTCATGTACATTCATGATTAGACATCCATGTAAGTCGTCCTCTTTGTGCATGTAATTAATGAACCGTCGTGTGAGTGGTGCGTTCTTCCCCCCGCTGCCTGTCCGACTTTCCGTCGGTCGAATTCGATCCTCGTCGCCTCGTCGGCGGGAGGGGGGAGGGGGTGGAGGTGTCAATATCAGTAATACCGCGACTGTTTCATTACCAGTACGATTTTCGTCCTTGTCGACACCGATGGGCGAACGAACTGAGCTTGTCTTCGAGCTGCTGATTCGGTGTTATTTGTATATTGAACTGTGCGATGTAAAGCGTATATGAAGATTCGATTCTAGCTACCCTATTGTGTTTGCGAAAACCATGAGGGACGTCCCGTGAGTGCTTATTGATACTGACGGTATTATTTTCCAGGCCGAATCAGATGCCGATCGTCCCAGTTCCGGGAGGAAGAGGAGCCTGTTTGCGCGACAGGCAGAAAAGCAAAGGAGGGCAGCACCCCCAGCTGCGTCACTTAGCGCGTCCGATCAGTTCACTTCAGGTGAGCAGCGGCTGGCCAATGGCCGGTTGTGTTTGCAATTTCAAGGTTTTTTCCAAATCCATAATAGTTGTCTTCGAAAATTCCTACTTAATTTGCTAGCTGTCCTTGAATAATAGAGACCATAATAAATACAGATCAGCCTAGGTTACCACCAAATCTAGTTTTCTCACCGGTTTTTGGCCCACTTGTTTTTCATCCCTAGTCTTTCTCAACAACAACAAAAAAAAAGTGCTGTATTCTGTCTCAAAGTTGTGGGGCACCGCCCTCACGGCCCCAGAGTTGGGGGGAGGGGAGGCTGCCTCACTGCCCCCCCCCCCGGTTTCCCGCGCCTATGGTTATTCTTGATAACTTTAAAATTTGAAAACTTTCGATAAAATTATTTGTACACTGTACACTTACTTTGAGGATAAGGTGAAGTAATGAAACTGTATATCATGTTTGGTGTTAGGTTAAACTGTTTGCCTGGGTTCAGTGAGTGATTAAACTGTTTGCCTGGGTTCAGTGAGTGATTAAACTGTTTGCCTGAGTTCAGTGAGTGATCAAACTGTTTGCCTGGGTTCAGTGAGTGATTAAACTGTTTGCCTGGGTTCAGTGAGTGATCTGTTTGACTGGGTTCAGTGAGTGATTAAACTGTTTGCCTGGGTTCAGTGAGTGATCTGTTTGACTGGGTTCAGTGAGTGATTAAACTGTTCCTGGGTTCAGTGAGTGATCTGTTTGACTGGGTTCAGTGAGTGATTAAACTGTTTGCCTGGGTTCAGTGAGTTAGCATGGTTACGGTTCTGGTCGGTGGAGCCGGGTCGATCGCTAGAGGTCAGTCCAAGTCTGTCTTTAACACCCAAACGTCCATTAGTGCATCTCTGCCGGCTCCTGTTCCAGTAAACCAGCGGTCTACGGTAGACGGTCACGGGGCTAAATTGTTTCTCCCGGCTCTGTAGTTGGCAGAACAATCGTAGATGCATCCCCGAATAGGGAATAACCAGGACATGTCATGTCTCGAATATGAAGTGAAATGAATTTCCGCTTTAGATTAATCCATTCTTGTTTATAATTCAGTGATGGGCCTCAACCTTTGCATTTTTGATAAACCTCATTTATTTGCCGATAGGGTAGTGTGGGGTAATTTGAACATATTTTTACGTCTTCTCCGTTGTACCAAATTCCAGCTCAACCCTGGATGAGGAAAAACTGCTTCAGTAGCGCAAGTGTCACTTGCTTTCACCATGCAAGCCTCGTTTTTGGACGAGCCGAGCATACGTTGAATAGCATAGCCTCACTTCTCCACCAAGCCACGGTGTGTTCAAATTGCCCCACCGTGGGGTAATTTGAACATACTGCCTTTACCTGTCATAAAAACGATAGCCTCGCCAGCACCGATGTTGTTTGACCCATAAACAAATAGGCAGAACAATTCTAAACATGCCTTCACTTGAAAAATCAACACAACGACAAAAATAACAGTTGCATTGCAGAGTAACAATATCTGCACGATGCACGCCGGTCAGTTGACAGAATTCGCTTCTCTTCAATTAAAGGGACTTTACCACATGCCGAGATATCCCTTTAACATTAGCACGTGCATTTGGGAAATGGCTTCGGCCCGCCTCGGCTCAGGGGTAGCCAGTAACAGTTGGTAGCATTAGGCCAAATGGGCGCTCAAAAACTACTACCCCATAGGGTTTCCATGTTAAATCGACCTTTTTCAAGCGAGCCTCACGCGTAAGCTAAAAGATAAAGTGCCAATATTATTGTGGGGAAAGGTAGCTTCAAGCCTCCTCTACAAGCTTTCTATCTAGCATTTTTCGATGCGGAGGCCATAACAGGTCCAAAAAGCATTGGGCGCTGCCCAAGGTACCAAAAGCCCCTCCATGAGAGCACAAGTTCCTGCGCATGCGCACATTGCCTCAACCCTGTACTGGCGTACATTAGTGATACTGCTCACCGACTCGGTCAGCCAATCAGCGTCCCCGATTACATTAATAGATGTCGCTAGCATCACGTAAATCCTGCTTGCGAACACGTTTTAAGAATGAAACAGCTGCGCCATTTCCGCCTTCCATTGATTCCTTCCATCTTAGTATCAACTATACGCTTTTCAACTAACTTTAGACTAAGTTTTAAACTATGGTCAGTATGTTATTTCTGGTACATATATTTAAAAAATAACTGCTTTATGAATTTGGTTTTACTCGTCAGAATAGAATACTCTATTTTTTCCATATTCAAAAAATATATCACCTACCATGTAACTCATCCAGGTAAAATGGGCGCTTTCCGCGTCGTTGGTGTACCCGTTGTTCTATATACCCTGCCTCGGCTAATGTTGAAGGTATTTGGGAAACGATTCGGCCCTAGGGCTTTTTGATTTTCCCAGACAAAGTTTTACTGAATATTCTGAGCGGAAGAACCAATTTCAAAGAAGATATTTACGGATTGTGTGTTCACTAACAGCAACAGCAAAAGTAAGTGACTGCGTGTTTACATACTTTTGCTGTCAACGTAATTCAACTAAACAAGGTTATCGTTCCAATGCCAATGTATTTATTGCTGCAGAACATGGTCGGAATAATCATTATTTCTACATAATGCACGCAAAAAAAAAAACGAACAATTTAAATGCGTGAAGCATCTTAACGTGCCACAATGAAACATTTGATATTGTTCCAGCTGGGATCCAAGACGCGTTTCCGTTTGATTCAGCGTTACACCCAATTTTTAGTTTTCCTCACGGTTTCCTCACTCCTGCTGGACTCCATATCTTTATTCTAACTTCTGGCGTTTCACCATCTTCATCCTCAGCTTTTTCATTTAGTCCCCCAGTAGTATGCGCCACCGGTTTTGAGCTGACGCCTATCACTCTACCGGAGCTCTCAACAGCCGTGCGTCACATGAGTAGCTCCAGGGCTGTTGGTATGGATGGTGTGTCAATTTTAGCTGTGCGTCGCTGCTTCGCCGTTATTGGACCATTGCTGCTTCATGTGATTAATAAGTCGATTGTTACTGGTGTGTTTCCTGATAGCTGGAAAATAGCTTGTGTGGTCCCTATTCATAAGGCTGGCGACCGTGGTGTAGCTGGTAATTACCGGCCTATCTCTTTACTGCCTGTCATGTCTAAAATCGCTGAGCGTGTAGTGTGCACCCAGTTGAGTGATTATTTGTATGACAACCGTCTACTGAGCGCATGTCAATACGCTTACCGCCGTGGCCACTCCACGGAGGACGCCGTACTCGACGCAGTATCGTGGGCCGTTGATAAGATCGACAACGGTGAGCTCACGTCGATAACGACGATCGACCTCAGTAAGGCCTTCGACAGTGTTGACCACGGCGTCCTCTTGAAGAAAATGGCATGGATGGGTGTGCCTTCACATTGGTTCGACAGTTACCTAAGCGGACGGGGGCAAATGGTACGAGGTGGGTCCAAGATCTGTCCTGTGAACTTCGGTGTTCCTCAGGGATCTATTGTGGGACCTATTTTGTTCAGCATATTTGTGGCAGATCTTCCGGGACATCTTCCCTACGGCCGTTTGGTTTGCTATGCAGACGACACGCAGCTCCTCGACAGCTCGCCGCCAGACAGTGAGAGTTATTGGTGACCATGATCAATACGCTAATGACGGCTGTGCCATTTTCAAACCCTAAATAAGGGGGAAGTAGGAATTTCATCTTTCATACTCAACGCAGCCTAATAATGAAAAACACAAAAAAAAAATAATCACGGTGACTATAAATATGAACATAGTATTAATATAATATTAACACAATATTAAGATTAAAGTGTAAAATATCAAATGAATATGATATTAACTGTTGCGCCGGTACGGCATGTGGTAAATCTCTTCCCAGTTCCCAACCTTGGGCCACGGAATATATAGTCTACGACATGGAATGGACAGGAGCTTCGATTAGCATTGCCACGTGTGTAACCAAAAATCAAGGATTTTGCCGGATGAATATCCGGAGATCCGGAGGATGCGGATGAATTTCTTTCCACGTGGTTTACATTTTCATATATTTTCTTAACATTTCATACATTTTTTCTTAACAATCGTCCGAATGATTCGTCTTCATTTTCAAGGGTCAAGTTGTGACTGTGACGAAATGGTAACCGTATATTTTATTGGAAACTTTTAGCACACTTTGTTACGGGAGCATTTATACATATTCATTGCATTAGAGTTTTAACATTGGTCTAAAATTAAATGAAATTCGATGACATTCGTCTAAAATTTGATGAAGATGAGGAAGTGCGAGCACTCGCGCTCTACTTTCAGGGTCCCAGGACTATATATAGCCTTGGTCCCAGGGCGTATCGGTTCCTACAAAAACGGTACGTCCTTCCCCATCCTCGAACTCTGCGGAGGAAGATGGAAAAAATACAGATGCGACCTGGCTTTCATGACGCTATCAGTATCTTGGCTCTCCTAAAAGAGAAGTTCGCCGGAGCAAGTGCCAAGGACAAGCTGTGCATCATTTCGTTCGACGAAATGCAGCTGAAACCAAGGTTGGCCTACCAGCGGGGTGATGACGTCATCGAGGGCTTCACTGATCATGGCTCTCTCTGCCGCGCCAATGCCTGCGCCGACCACGCCTTGGTCATGATGGTGCGGGGCGTCAGTGTCACCAAACGCTGGAAACAGCCCATCGGTTTCTTTCTGAGTTACGGAACGACCAAGGCCGTTGTGCAGCAGCAGCTGTTAACACAATGTGTCCAACGTGTAACAACAACAGCGGGATTCACTGTGCTAGCTACAACTTGTGACATGTCAAAGAACAACCAGGCAACCTACAGACTGCTCGGAGCTGCGGAAACCGGCTTGTTCACCGTGGACAGGCACGAGGTTGCTGCTCTGTATGACGTGCCTCACATCTTCAAATGCATACGAAATGCATTAATGAAATACGATATTGAAGTAGACGGTGAAGTAGCCTCTTGGAGTCATTTAGAAACACTCTACGCACTGGAATGCGCTTCTTTCCCACGGGCTGCTCCAAAACTAAGC